CAGACTTGGCAACACTGTTTACAGATTACCATAACTAGACATGGGTCGTACTTGCAAAATCGAGTGCCAGGGGCTTCCATGTACGTCCACCTTCAGATACCAGCGCCAAAAATCAGAGCTTGAGATACTTTCAAGTATTTTCTTTCTGCATCGAAAATTGATCCGTAAGAATGAAATAGTAAAAATAGAATACTTTCAAGCCTTGTTAGAAGAAAAAGACTTGCATAGAACATTGATCTGTAATTATATACAAATATAAAGAACACAATCGCGTTTACAAAAAACGTCCAAACCTTTAAAGGTTCTAACTTTAAAGTCTTCAAAGATTCAATATCGATTTTCTAGGGTGATATGTAGATTCACTGGATCGATTCAGTACTATATATCTATTAAAATCTATCTTTTTGGCACATGAAATCGATTCTTTTATAAATCTATTTCAGATCGACATGCCTGTATAAAAACCTGGTACCTGGTATAAAAACTTGGTCGCGTAAATACCCACTGCACTGATGATGACATATGTCGATTCTCTTAAAAAAATCAATCTCTGAATCGATTTGAATCGAACATACTAGAATCGATTGTTGATTAAATCGAGGATTAAAAGATCGATTTTCGATTAATCGCGACATTTTCAAACAAAATTCAATTCACAAGACAATTTCAAACCAGAAATTGAACTTTTATAATTACATTTACCTTAAGGTTAATTTACATTTATAGATGATTTTTTTCCAGATTTCAATAGGCCATAAGCTTGATTAGATAAAGCATTAGTATATGCCTAATAATTCCATAATATTTTTTCGCCATTATCCTTAACTCTCAAGGTAGTATGAAATTAGGCGCTAGATAGCATGATTTTATGAAATCATGGATTAGTTAATTAACATGGACGTGTAAAATAAGGCGGACAGAATTTTGCAATTTTGTTAAAAAAGGACTGATGCCCTGCAATGGTAGTTAGCTAGCCTTTGTTCATAGCACGGATTAAGTTAGACCCACATTCCACAGGTAAGATTAGAATCATATTGTCCGTTCATCTTAACTTGACGCGTGAGTAATTGGTAGCACTGTTTCTTCACTCGCCTCTTCATTTTAGTTTGTTCGGTTGCTACCTGTGTGCTCTTTTGCTTTTTAACAATTTAATTTTAGTTTGGCAAAAATGCTGAAAGTAGTTAAAAGTGCTAAAAGGCAAACTATTCTTCAAGTTTACGCTTTTTGTGAAAGAGAAAAGGCTGAAAACTAGCTGATTGTGCCATTGCAACAAGTTCGTGCCCGAATTGCCGCCATGACCGATATGTTTTTAGGGAGACCAGTTACAAAGATTTAGATTAACTGTACGAGGGCGGCACTGAAAATTTCGGGAATCAAGGAAGTGACACAACATTACTATTTAAAAATGTATTTATTGCTTTTCGAAGTATTCTCCGCGAAATTTACACATTTTCCATACGATGGAACCAGTCATTGAAGCAACCATTTCATTCGGAAGTTGGGGTCTCCAAAATGGCCATTTTGTAGGCGTCCACAGCTTCTTCAGGTGATGAAAATCTCAGTCCACGCAATTTATTCTTTATTTTAGGGAAATTATAGAAATCATTAGGGCTTAGGTCGGGGCTGTACGGCGGATGGTCTAATAATTCTATGTTTTCTTGCTCTAAAAACTTTTTTGTTCCGTGTGCGGTGTGAGAACTCGGATTTGTCGTGATGGAGGATGATGCGGCGGTTGCAATTCTCTTTATGGAGTTCAGAAACGACCTGTGGCAAACAAATGCTAGCATACCTTTCTGCATTAACCGTTCTTTGTTCCTCAAGAGGAATAGTCGTAACATGGCCGTTTTTGGAGACAAACGTGGCCACCATTTTTTTGCAACACTCCGTGAACGAACAATTATTGTTGGCTTTAACTCATTTTCGAACACCCAAACTCGTGACTGGTTTTTTGTTTCGGGTTTGTACGCGTATATCCAGGATTCGTCACCTGATACGATGTTGTATACAGAATTTGAGGATCCTGCGTGGAATCTTTCTGCACTGAGAGTTTTGATGCACCAAGTAACGCGAGCCGCTTTTTGCTCTTCACAGAGCGAATGCGGTATCCATCGGGAAAACAACTTTTTTACACCTAATTGTTCATGCAAGATTTATTTAACTCATGCCAATGTCCAAAGTTGCCTAAATTTCGCGGTATGTCACATTTGATGCCTCACATTGTGAAGTTTTTGGGAGATTTTGATGTGTGCCTGATCCAGCAGTTAGTCGATGACTATAGTATCTCATGGCTTTAAAGAAGACGTAATAACTTGAATTTCTCATCACCATTGGAGCATTTTTTTCATCATTCCCACTAATAGTTCACATGCCAAATGCAGAAATCATGCGGTCAACACACTGTTTTTGTGTTAAACCACTTCGAAAGTCATAATAAATCATCGGTCTTAAATTTTCTCGAGTCAATTCCATTTTCTCAACGACTAAACAAGTTTGACAAAACCTTGTGACAAGACCGAAAATCTTTTTTTTAAATAAATAAATGGTAATCGATTTTTAAAACCAAGGAGTTTTCAATTAAAAAGATTTTAATATGACAGGAACAGTGGAAATATTCCATTCCCGATACTTTTAGTGCAGCCTAGGTATGTAAATCGCTAAATGATATTAAAATATTTGTATGTAAACAAGTATATATATTAAGTTATAGTTTAGTTAACTAACTTAAGTTACTAAAATATTCTGATTTTATTTACTGCCAAAGAAAATAAAATTGCATTTGTTTACTGATTACAGATGTATCTGAATCTATTGTAACCCGCATTTTAAGACAAGAAAGAGAGGCCAGTTCTGTTTCCAATTTGGGTGTGCCTGGTCCATCAAAAGTATCAACACCAGGAAAAAACCATCAAATCGCGATACGAAGATCAAAACCGATGATTAAACAAAAAGTTATGTCATTTTAAGCTGTACGAAAAGAAATTCCTACATTAAACAAAATTGACGGTGGGCGTACTACACTATGGAAAATATTAAAACGACTCGGGTATAAATACAAAAAGTGTCAATCAAAACGAAAAATGTTAGTGGAACAAACATATATAGCTGCCTGACGATTTAACTACTTGAATGAAATTAAAAAATACCGAGAAGAGGGGTGGACTATTGTCTACATAGATGAAATACTTATTCATTGTTCATATGGGGTGCAAAAATGTTGGCAGTCAGATTCTGAAGAAGGTGTATTGGTGAGAGATTCAGGTACTGGTAGGCGATGGATAATTGCACACGCTGAAACTACAATAATGCGTTATTGCTATTCAAGTCACAAACAAAATCATCCATGATGACATGAATAGCAATAACTTTATAAAATGGCTGGAAAAACAAGTTTTATCAAACCTGCCACCTAATTGTATGATTGTGATGGACAATGCGCCATATCATACCGTACTAATAAATAAAAGCCCTAATATGGCAAGCCTCAAAATAGACACGGTAGAGTGGCTTCAAAACAAGGGACTGTTTTCACCAAATTTGCCAATATTTTAAATAAATTAATAAAAAAAAATAAACCAGATCCCATATATAAAGCTGACGAATTAATAAAATCACATGGTCACAAGATTTTACGACTGCCCCCCTATCATGCGGATTTAAATCCAATTGAGCTAATATGTGTCGAAGAGACGGTTCGCAAAAAAAATGTGGGCCAGAGAGATGATCAATGGAATCACTTATAAAATAAACGTTTAGCTCAATAAACGATGAGCTTTGAAAAAAAAAGAGTGCTCACATGTTATAAAAATTGAAGATGAGTACATAGTGAAAGATAAAATAATTTTTTATTGTGGGTTGGCATTGACAGTGATGAAAGTGATAGTGACAGTGAGTATTCAAGTGACATTGAAGAAGATATGATCTTAAAGTGATTCTTTTTAACCCTGTCTGAATAAATTTATCCTGAATGTTCCTATTGATATGTGAATTATTCACATGAGTATAGTCATTATCGTCACATGAGTATAGTATAGTGTATGAGTATAGTCACATGAGTATAGTCCCTACATTTCGGGAACTCTATTCACATTGAAACATACAACACTGTAAATTACAGTGCTGCCAATCGGATTACGCGTCAAGTTACGATGAACGGACAAAAGAGTTAGAATTTTAGAAATAAAAACGAATTGACAACTTTTCGATATCTTTGTATGCGTTCTATATAATCAATTCATTATTCATTCAATATATAAATATTTATTTTATTCAAATATATATTGCGTTCAAATTATCAACCAAGTACGACCGGTTGTTTTTGTGTCCGCTAACAGCAAAAATTTTTAAAACTGTGGTATCTTACCTTAGCCAGTTTGAGAACTTTATCGCTAGTTCTTGAATCTGATGAATCAGTCCGATTCGAGAGGTTTTTGGATCGATTCATCGAATCGATGCGGTGTTCCAAATCGATCTGAAAAATCGATTGTTTTATTACAGATAATCGATTTTTCGTTTAATCTATTTTAAATCGACATGCGTACTCATAGATTACTGTGTATATACTAGTGCCGCTAGTGCGTACTGATATGCACTCTTGTACACAGTGTTGCCGTTTTAGCCACTTTGTGGCTAGATCTAGCGGATTTTCAAAGGTTTTAGCCAAAAAAAATCAATTTTAGCCACCAAAACGAATCTAGCTACTTCTAACTACTTCTGGTAATTTTTGTTAGCTACTAAGTTCTTTTAAAGAAACATGTGGTTACCGCCTTTTGCTGAGAAGGCAACACTACCGCGGTCCGCTCACTCTCCGCGCCGCAGGTGTAATCTATGATCGGGGTTTCCCCAACTCCACTCATATAGTACCGAAAGTCGAAACGATAGATCGCATTGTTCTTGTTTAGCCGTAGCCTCTCACGCGTGGATAGTTCTTACATTTTTCATTTTTGTTAAGTTTTAAAGGTGAATTGAGAGTCTTGAGTTCTTGGAAAGTTATTGGAAATATCATGGATGTTCCTCTCAAGAAAAAGAGCTACATTCAAAAATATAGGACTGAATGGGAGAATGACGAAGACTTTAAACAGTGGATAAAGCCAATAGCGGATAGTCCAACGAAAGCCTTTTGCAAGTATTGTCATGTAGAAATTGCTGCCAAAATTTATGATTTACGTAAGCACAGAGAATCTAAAAAACACAAAGCAAAATGTGAATTAATCACAAAAAATAAACAGATCCAGTTTACCTCTACACCTGATGATGGTTCAAAGAACAGTCAAAAAGCTGAAGGCCAGCTTGCCTTGTTCATTGCTGAACATACTTCCATATCCAACACTGACCACCTTACAGACCTTTGTAAAGAAGTTTTTCATGATTCAAAGTGTGCCAAAGATATAAAAATGCATAGAACTAAATGTACGCAAGTTATAAATCAAGTGCTGGCGCCGCATTTTAAGGATACTCTTCTAAAAGATATTGGCACGCAGAAATATAGTATTATTTTAGATGAATCTACGGATGTTAGCGTCTCAAAATACATGGGAATAATAATACGATATTTTAGCCTGAATACGAATAATATTGTGTCATCATTTCTGTCTCTGGAGCCTATTGAAAGAGCTGATGCGAGAGGTATTGTCACATCTTTAGTAAAATGTTTGGAGTCACAAAGTCTTCCAATACAAAATTTGATTGGGATCGGCACCGACAATGCCTCGGTCATGACGGGCCGAAATAACAGCGTAATTGAAATTTTGAAGAGAGAATATAATTTACCAAATTTGATCCTCATTAGATGCATCTGCCACTCTTAGCAATTGGCGGTCAGCCATGCGTCTGAAAGCAATCTGCCACGTAACATAGAATTTCTGATAAGAGAGACGTACAACTGGTTCTCCATTTCTCCAAAACGCCGAGACGAATATAAAGCGCTGTTTCAAACAATTAACTGTGGGGATGAACCATTAAAAATATTAAAGGTTTGTGACACCCGTTGGTTATCAATAGAGCCTGCTGTGTTGAGAATATTGGCACAATGGAACGAGTTAAAACTACATTTTTCTTTGGCCAGAGAGAAGTGCTATACAGCGGGACTTCTTTGGGAAATGTACAATGACGAGGGTAATCGTCTTTACTTATGTTTTTTGAAAAGTATTCTTCACGACGTTCAAATTGGCATTAAGGTATTTGAAGGTGAAAATATTGATCCTGTCAAACTGTTAGAAACTCTGATGACCTTGTTACGATCTGTCTGCGTTAGAATAATAATACCAGGCGCCGCGACAACAGACAAAGATTTCCTCACTATCAAAGTAGAAGATCATCTAGATCCAGTTGCACATTTGGGACATCTTTTCGAATCTCATGCCAGTAATAGCAACTTATCTCCGCAAGCAATTTCTAATATCAAAAAACGATGCATCGACTTCAGTGTCAAGTTGGTACAAGAAATTCAGAACAGAATACCTTCTAATTGCGAGATCCTAGCAAAAGTAACACTCTTAAGTCCAGAGAACACATTAAAACAGATCAAGGATCCTCATGCACTGGTTGGATTAGCAAGAGAATTGGGATTCGATGACCAAAAGACAGATAAAATTGTTCAACAATGGAAAACTATACAATTCATAGAATGGGAAACTGCAGGAGACAGTGTTAAATTCTGGGCGCAAGTCTTAAAATACAAGAATGCAGCAGGAGTTAATATATTTCGAGAACTAGCTGACTTGGCTATTGCTGCAATGTCCCTTCCTCACTCTAATGCGGAAGTAGAAAGGCTGTTCAGCGTGATGAACACTGTAAAAAATAAATTGAGAAATAGAATGTGTTCATTGACACTCAATTCTATAATAATGATTAGAAATCAATTAAAAATAAAGAAGAAAAATTGTCACAACTATGTTTTACCGCCTGAGGTTTTAAAAAAAATTAAAAAAACTGTCAAACCTTTAAAACAAATCGTAACACCATCTACATCATCATCACCCATTGACGAAGAGGTTATAGAATTACCAGATGACATTGCAGACCTACAAATTGATTATTAATTTTTATTTTTTTTTTCAAATAATTTAATTAGTTACTAAATTTTAATTGTAGATACGTACAAACATTATTGTTAGTTTTAATAAATACTTAATTAACTTAAGTATATTAGATCCGGTTTTAATTAAACCCACTTATCCCTAACCTTGTATATTATTTAATTATCAATATAGAATATTAAAGTAGGCAAAGGATATTATGATATTAGCCACTTCTAGCTACTTTTAGATTACGATTTTTTTTAAAAGCTGGCCACTTTTTTATTCTATTTAGCCACAAACTAGATTGTCCAAACGGCAACACTGCTTGTACATACAACTTTATAATTTGTGATATGCACCTTCCGTAATCATAACTTTAACTCTGCTAACCTCAAATTCAAAATCTTAAAAGATTTTTAGTTCCGATTTCCTATTACCTAGAAGTCATTATTAATTATTCCAAAAATGGTATCTGTTAAACCTATTTCAAAAAAAAGCAAACAACAAAGTTTAAAGTCTAAATCCACGAAAAAAACGAATAGAGCATTTGGTAAAAAGAAAGCAACCAAAATCGTGGAAATCGTTAATGAAAATAGAAGTTCTAAAGTTTCTTTTCAGAAAATAAATCGGAGCAAAGTTAAATATGTGATGCCATCCACAAGTATAACAGAAAATCTCGTTGATTCGTGCTTAAACGCACTAGAAAAATTAACAGCACATCACAGCAAAAAGAATGCGATTTTTGGCTTTGAAACATCTATATTTGCGGAAATACGTTGCATAAAAATACCTAATACTAGAGGGAACGTAAAGTTGTATGTGTCACTACCACATGCTCTTTTTCTTTTCAAAGACTATTATTTGTATTTATAATATCGTATATTTTTAGTATGTTACCACACAGTACTGCTGCTTCAACAGGAGAAATTTGTTTAATTACACCGGATTTAAAAAAAGGAAAGAAAGTTGATCATGAACCTACTGTTGAACATTGGAAAGACATTTTAAAAGAAGCCGGTGTTACTGAAGTAAGTTGTTTATACTCCTTAAAAGTTTTCCATTTATTTTTAAACATTCTATAAAGTTAATTTATACATATCACAATTATACTTTATTTTACTTTTGTTTACTGAAAATTATATTTACTGAATTATTGGGCTAAGTAGTTAAAAAACTTGAACACAACATTGAAAATTGAGTTACCATGAACTGCAGATAAAAGCTTATATATAATACCATTTATACATCTTGTTTTAAAAAATGGTGAGTAAAACCTGATGTTTCAAGTGAAATACAGTGATCTTTATAACAGATTCATAGTTGACAATTAAAATAATATTGTTTCATTGACTTGAGTCTGGGCACAGAATGATTGTCAAGCTTTGCATATAGAAATAGTGAGAGCCCTTTAAATTAGAGATGGGCTAAATATGGAATTCACCGAATATGAACATTCGGCAAGATCACCTCGGTACCCCACCAAATTATGTAAAAAGTTGTTACCATAAAGTGTGCTGGATTAGCTGGCACATGCTTATGTTTATTTTTCTGAGAAGAAAAGTATTTTCGTTGTGTTATTCATAGTGAAAATTAATAATTATATCATAAAAGTGAGTGGCAGGAGACCTACTATTGGACTTATTTTAGAGAAACTGACGACCAAAGTAAAGTGAAATGTCCCAATGTAATATAATTTTACTTTGTTTGATTCCAAAAACATTTTATCAAGCTTTCTTATTGCTATAATTGGAAATAAATCTACAGTCCCTCAAAAACATAACACTTTACAAGTAGATTTAATCCATAAATAAAATATACTTTTAACAGTAAAATTATTAAAGATATAGCGTTACTCAATTCATACATTTCAATTCAGTGGACACTGAGTACCACTTTAACGAATGTTCTGTGATTTAGCCAAATATTCGGTAAAGTTGCTGAATACCGAATATAAAACGAATATTTTGCCCATTTCTACTTTAAATAATCCACTGCCACATAGGATGAGACAATGTTATTACTCTTATTTTTATAGAATAAGAGTGACAAACGAGCACACAGTCCAACTGATGGTAAGTGGATGCTATGGCCCATATATATCTACATGTATCGCATTTCAAAATGCAGATGCATTGTCACCCCTGAGGACAAGATGGAATGCCTCGCTTCCAGTAAAAAAAGTCTCCGCTTCACTACACTCAGCACTTAAATTGATAATTTCATTGCTGCTTACACTGAAATTCTAAATTAAGTTTTAGTAGGTACTAAAAATCGAAGACTCAGGGGCCATACTCGTAAGTTTTCTAGCTATATGTAATTCTAATGTAATCCAGTTTTTATATACAACAAAAAAAACATTCCTCATAAGCAGTTCACAAATCACAAGTTTTATGTGTTAAATTTCAAAAACAACAGTCTTCTTTTACATTAAACCAATAATATGTATTTCAGGTCAAAACAGTATTGCCTTTAAGACAGTTGAAGGTAGAATATGACCAATATGAGCTTAAACGGAGACTTCTTACACAGCATGATTTTATAATGGTTGACACAAGGATATTAAATCATGCTTCCCATTTACTTGGGAAAATGTTTTTCAAAAAGCACAATATGTTAATACCAATTAAAATGAATGAGAAGGCAAATATTAAGAAGTACATTGATATTGGTTTGAGAACAGCAATGTTGCGGTTGAATGAAGGACACACATCAACAATACTTGTAGGCCATACCAGCATGTCACGAGATAATTTAAAAGAAAACATCATGTCATTAATAAAACAACTTGCTAGTAAATATCCTGGTGGAGAGGCCAATATTAGGTCAATTTCTCTAAAACTGCCACTGTCCCTTCCACTGCCTTTATACCTAACATTAAGTAAGTACAGTCAGTTTATTCAACATGCTTTTTGAAGGAGACATTTTATATGGGAGTCCACCTAAAATGTATTTACCTCATGTAAAACTTAGGAAATTAACCCATAAATGAGTTTAACTAGCCTTATATTATAAATTATTTTTTTGTAATAAAATATATGATGTTTATCATAAGTATTATTGCTTAGGGGCATCAATTTTTACATGATTGATTCAAAGAGCATGTAAGTTGATTTGCGAATCAATTCAAAGACATTGTAGTTTACAAATGGACTCAAAATGAAAATGTGCATTAGGGATGATCGACGTTACAAAAACATCAATGATGATATTGATAGCTTAACATCAACGTTCGATGTTTATCCTACTCAAAACATCGATGTTGGCCATTATCGATGTTATAGCATATGTACCTATTTAGTAGGATAAAATTAGATGAACAAAAAATTTGTTGTGTTGTTTATGGTTTATGTTATTAAATAAACATGAAACAGTGAAACAGTAATTTGAAAAATGGGAAAACTTAACAAATATTTAGTTAATTTGTTATATTTTTGCCAATAATTATGAATATTATTATTTTGATATTTAAATGTTCCTATACAATTATAAATCTGGTACTAAAAATTTACTATCCTCATTTATAATTTAGATATAGGTTTTATATTAACTAATCATATCGTGAAATAAAAAAATGATTATAGAGGGAAAATTAACAAACTTCACAAAAACAAAATAATAGACTTTTCCGTCACCTTTGTTCACACAATTTTTAATCAAGCAGCCCAAGCAGTAAGTATCCACAGCCATTTATAAAATGCACTGTAGAATGCACTATGCAGTGAAATTGTCTACGCTCACAATCACCCAGTGATTTATTTTCATAAACTTCAAGCAAACAATAAACTTGTTATCCGAAGCTCAAAAACACAGCTAAATATAATACAATTGTGTAGATACATATTGTTTCAAAATTATGTGGGTATAGGCAGCAAGGAAAAAACAATTAATTTGAATATCAATTTATGTAGAATAGTTATTAGGCGCCAACCGACAACACACGACTGTGACATTACAGTTCATACTTGACACAACATAATGATATTTTTTTAGGTGATCGATGCATTTAGGAATCCTTAATTCAAAATTTTAACCCTATGAGCCCTATGAGATGAAATAGTTAGTTGATATTGATTTCGCGAGTTCACATTGTTCACAAGTTCTTATTAATCGATTATTGGTACATTGTCATCGATGGAAATCTTTCGATGTTTAAGATATGGTAACATCAACAAGGATGTTTTAATTTCTAACATCGATGATCATCGAACATCCCTAATGTGCATCCATGTGACTAACATGATGCTACTAATAATATATAGACATATTATGCTGACATAACACAAAATGTTGCTACGTATATTTGGTTGCTAAGTGCACTCTTGTAAAGAACTATATATTTTTTATATTAACACTAACAATAAAAGAAGCTACTCTTTTAGCTAGTTGACATTAATTTCCAAGAGAACTACTTGTTAGTAACTAGTACCCTTTGATATAATATATTCTGTATTAATGATATTTATCTTTTAACATTATTACATCAGCATCTGATATAGTATCCAAACGCTTCCAAAGTAACCGAAAATGCTACCATATTGAATATAGCATTAATTGAAAACATATAATTGTCATTTTTTCCTTTGTTATGAATAATGATGAACATCATAGCCAAATCAAAATATCTGATAACCATTTTAACACTAAAATATTGATTTGATTTTATAACTTCGAAAAATTTATTTTAATTACAGGATCATCAAATTCAATTGGACTCCCAAAACTTGCTCATAAAAGACCTAAACACTTCAAAATTTTAGAGGATGAATTATCAACCATACCAGATAGCACTGTCAGGGTAGCTCCTGATGGCACAGTTCATCTTAAAAAGCAAAAAAAGATGGTCAAAAGGTAGTTTATCATTCTATATTATTAAAGAATCAATTAGAGAATAATATGGAAAATATAACTCCATAATCATATTTATTTATTTCAGTGTTAACGAGAAAGTTTTGTTGGAAAGTGAAAAAGAAGATGAATCTGAAGGTGATGTAAATGAAGAGGAATAAATTTAAAATGTGATTCAATATAAAGATAAATAATAATACAACTTGTAGTTTTCTTAGTACAAAATGTTTAATCATAATATAAGTCAACATAGAACAGTTAAACAAAATATACCTATAATGTAACTATATAATATTTACCAAAAAAATAATCTTATTCATTCATCTCTCAATATAATATCACTTTCTGAAGAACTGAATTTGTGACACTTATCTAAAGTGTTTACAAATGCCTTTGGAATTATACTGACTTGCATTTTCACTGGCCATACTTTCTTGAATTTTTTGAAATTTTTTACTTTGCTGTTTTCGGAAGTTAAATGCTGTGGTTCTTTTTTAACAATCAAATCATTTCTTAAAACAACTGTTGTTGACCCCAAATCGAGATCATTCAATTTTCCATCTATGCCTGTTATATCCTCTTCTTTTATAGCTATTGCAGTATTATTGCTGTATTCCATTTTTAAATTGTTTTGCATCAACTCTTCTAGTTTGATTCCTCTTAAAGCTGATACATCTATTTTATCATTTTCCTCATTACCTTTTTCTTCAGGAGTATTTTGTTTTTTACACAAATTTATTTTATCAATATCTATCATCCCATCCTTAGAAATTTTAGTTGGTTTCGGGTTTTCTTCAATAAAATTAAATAAATTAACCTCATTTTCTTCAAAATCTTGCTTCCTTTTTATTGGTTTCGATAAATTTAACTTTCTCTTAGGATCATTATCAACAGCAGAAGATGATGACAATGGCATGAAATTAAAATTATCCTTGTCTTCATTACTGTTTTCAATCGCCAATTTCTTTGCAGGCTTTAAATTAGTTTCTTCAATGTCTTCACATGTTCGTTTTGTTGAACACTCTATGCTAGTTAATTTATTGTTGACAGTGGCAAGTTTCTTATTTGGATTAATAAAACTAACATCATTATTTTCTTCATCCCATTTTCTTTTTGTTAGAGTACTGCCATTATTAATTGTTGAAACATTGTGAGACAATTCAGGTTTAGAATTTAGACTTTCATTTATAACCACATTTTCTTGTTTGCAAATGCTAGGCAAAGGTTCTTCTGATTCATGAGCTAATACATTTGCAGTTTTTACACTTTGATCAGATGGCTGTTTTATAACCTCAGATGAAAAATTAAAGTCAGGATTACAATATTTATTTAGTGAACAATACAATATTGCTAAACCTATCTCTGCATCAGCTACAACTCTTTTACCTTTGCTCTTTAAATAGCACACTATATCATTGATTTGATTTTTTTGTATTTGTGTTTCTTGACTTGTTGATGTTAAATTGTATTGAATCACAATTATATTATCATTGCAAAGCATAGACTTAGTCATCTTTGTCTCACTAAGTAACAAAGCTGATGCAGAGCTTTTCGTTAGAACATTTTTATACATATCCAATTGTCTTCTTGAAAAGAAAACAACAGTTTTGCCTTTAAATAAAGATTTTCTACAATCATCTGGTAAAAAAGATACATTTTCTTTGTTAAGTGTAGTCTCCACAATTTGTGGTATGAAATTTCTTGGATCAGGTAATGGTGTGCATTTAGTAACCGCTTCAGAGCACTTATTCCAAAATTCGGTGGTCACAATAAATGAACCTTGTACTAATGCAAGCACCACTTTAATAGTCAAAGTGATAGCAGGCATTGTTAAATATACACATGAATCATCCCACTCACTCTTCAATATTCCACCCAATTTGCCTAAAATCATTTTCAAATTCTGAAGATTTTCTCCTTTTAAGGTTGATGTACATGTTGTGTAATTTATAAAATGTACCTTCCAAACACAGTCCATTTTACCAAACTTAATGATATCATTAACATTAACTTTTTGTTTAACATTACTTTCCAACCTCTCCGACGAATTATTTAAGAATGTTCCATATTTTGAACCCAAATCTTGTAAAATTAAGGTATCGTCCAACACAGTTAATGATGCATGTTTTCTACTAATGGATGGATCATCAGGAACAGCGAAATTACAAAATTGTGCATCAACACTTCGGCCAATAATAATTTCTTTATGCGGGACAATGTAAATTATTCTGGAATCACTTTGAGAACTTAAATACCACATTTTGATACTATAAATAAACTTGAATTATATCAATTTCATTCGATATTTTCATTAAATTCTACAATATAAAACGGCGCTTTGGGCGTCCTTTTCATTCAATTTCAATATAAAGTTAAATTTATAATGGGAAAGTTAAAAGTTAGAACGCTTAAAAGCACAGAACAACATAGATGACCATCATGACCATAGATAAATAAATACCTACTAGCTTGCCAGGCAGACGTTCTGCCATTTCGACGACAATTTGTCATGTCCTATTAAAAATCCCTAAATTCAAAAAAAAATTGTGCGCAAAAAACTATCCTATATCTCAAGTGGGACCAAACTGCACACGGTGTGCAAATTTGATTAAAATCGATTAAGTAGTTTAGGATTCCATCGCGGACAAACAACGTGACACGTAATTTATATATATTAAGATATAGCCATAGCAAGCTCAGTGCCCCCAACTCTCAAAAATTTTCCCCCCAAAGCTTAAATCAAAAACCTCTAATGTCATAACTATTACATGAAAATCCCCCTAAAATAATATTAAAACACATATAAATAATAAATTACTAATAATCAGTTAATAATAACCAATAATGATTAAAAATATTCTTTACATACATAAATTACAATTTGTACATTACTTAAAACATCCAATTTGAATTCATTTTCCTTGAAGTTTTTGAAATCATACATATTGATTTTAAATAAACTTAAGATTTTAGCGGATCGATTAAATGTTATGTACGATCCACCGTTTCGTTGCAATGTAAATCGGACCATCATCATACTCTGTAACATTATAGTCTATTCCGTAACTTATTTACGTAGATAGAGAAACCTATAGACTAATGGCCTCGAGTGAGAAAGGACGATAACGTAGTTTTAGGTTATAAAATAATCTTTATGACTTTTGAACATATTTAGATAAAATTTTTAATTGTTCTAAGAACTGAACTGAACAAGATTCACCAATCTTAAGCTCACAAAACACTTTCTTTCTCACTTAAAGGAACTTGTAAGCTCCTTAGATCGCTACGAACTGTCAAAGTTGTTTAGCACAGTGTAGTTTGCTAAACAAAAAAACCGGCACGGAGAAAGGGACAAACAATAACATTGCTCTGTCTCATTTCTATGCAAGACGTATGTAAAAATCTATCTTTTTTGTGTGCGAATACGAAAGAAGGTGTCGATTTGTCTATAGGTTTCTCTGTCTACGCTTATTTACCACAATATTATTCACGGAGAACGTACGTTCGACACATTGAAGTAATATGTACTTACGTACTAGAACAGCTATCTCAAAAAAAATGTGCGCTACTCTGTGTTCGCGCAGTTTTTTTTTATCCTAGAATATAACATAGGTAGAATGACTCGTAGGTAATAGTAGATTGTATTGTTAAATAGGTAAATTATGTCGAGAACAATATTTAAATTTTGTCATTTATTTTGTATATTATATTTGCTTATTTAATACAATATTACATAATATTATTATGTAATATTGTATTAAATATATATTTTAAAAGATATCTATGTCAAATATAAAAAACATACTGTATGTTGTTATGTTCCAATAATAAGCAGAACACATCAAAGTCAAAGTGGTATAAATTCATCCATTTTTAACTCTCGCGTGCCCAGCATTTATGAACGACTATTATTCTAATTTAAATAAATATATTTGTAATTTAAATATTATGTGAATAAGTTTTGTTAAACATAAATTTAGTATGTTTTTTATATTTGACATAGATATCTTTTAAAATATTAAAAAAAAAAAAATATATATATATATATATATGTTTAAATAAACATGAAAAATTTGCCTAATTATAATAACTCATAATATATGTTTCTACAAAAAAAATGTGTATAATAATATATTCGTCCTATACTTAAGTACCCACAGAAATGTCGCATCTGAACAAATTAATTTCATAATCTATATTACGACACGAGATGGCGTCTTAGGAGTAATTTGTTTTATTATTAATCTATAATACTTTTTTTTATTGACTAAGTATCTTATTAACCGAAGAAAAGTAATTCCTTGGTTTTTACTGACATTTCTTGAATTATTAGTGCAATCTCTAAGTACACACGACAGCATATTTTTATCATGAGATTTTTTAAAATCAACACAACACGTGACAACTCTACAAGCGCCTAGCGAGTGGCTGATTAAAGTGCGGTGTATGCACCGCAGTTGAGGGGAGCAGAGTAGCTGAATGCAGTGTCGCCTCTAGTACGTAGTACATAATAGCTCAATGGTTCGACACTTGCATCGGAATTGGAATTATGACAAAAGCCAGTCCAAATTTCGAAATATTTTCGAAACTTTTACAGCCAGCTGCATATCATTATAGACTACAAAATAAAAATCAGCTGAAGTAGAAATGTTTTCCACGTTTTATAACACAATTGTTGCCACTCAGACTCGATGCTATTTTTGTTGCCGTGGATATGAGTTCACTAATGTGGTTCAATATTTGTGTTATGTAGGGTTTTACTTGAGACGTAGCAACCTTTGAGTGCAAATCGGCAAGTGTTTTTAACGTTCATAAATTATCCGGAAGCCTTTCTTGGATCTTCTCCATCAGACGACATAAAAAGCTCTTGGACCGTTCTTTAACATCCAACTAGTCATTAGCTTCAGGTTCTTGTGATATGTTTTGAGAGTCAAAACCGAAATTTGTTGAATCTGTATGAATTAGATGGTCCTTGAAATTGAATTTCACCAGTGCAGAATCCACCACTTATTCCAACTGTGAAGGTACAACAAGTCGTCTAAGCAAGTTTTGTATAATAAAAATAAATCCTCAAATAATTTAGTCGGCTCAACATCCTCACTTTGGAAAAGTAAATTCCGTTGATTAACATTTTTTAATTCGCTTTTTAGAAAAATCAAAAAAGCTTTAAAAGGTAGTCTACTCATAATATAATAAAGCTGTTCTGCCACGTAACATTTATCATAAGTCTTAGCAACTGAAAATAGCAGCTTTAATTCTTCCCGTTGCTCCAATATTGTAGTAATAACTTGATAGTGAGCGAGCCAGCGGAGTCCGCTAAGTCCTTGAATTTTTTTTTGGGTCCTTGTTATCATTCATCGTTTGATATAATGCTTTATAGTACTCTAAACATTTAGGTCTGTATAAAAACCAATTATGGGCTTCTCTCACGAGAAATTCTAGTTGTAGTGGTAATAGTTTAGCCTCTTTTTCCGCACAAAAATGCAAGGAGTGGCTAATACATTTGACAATAATCAAATCAGGTAGTTCTTTTTTTTAACATACCAATCGCCGAATCACGTTTACCAACCATGATATTCGCACCGTCAACGCTGATTCCTACCAAATTTTCAACTTTTAATTGATTTATAATCAACTCATGTATGCTTTTTGCATCACATTCAATATTACCTTTATATATTACCTTTATTATAAGATGAAAAGTTGTGACAACTTGAACCGTCCTGTGTGAAAAATACACACAATAATGCACAGCACTTTTTGTGCCAATAGATCAGTACTTTCATCAATAATAATGGAGTACGGAAAATCTCCTATCTCTTCAATTACAGCTTATGGCATTGATGAGCCAAGCACTTTTTTTATTAACATCGAACACAGTGCGATGAATTTTAAGGTTCTTCAAAGCATCTGACGAAGGATCCAACTGAGGAAGTAAAGTAATCTAGTATCTAGATATTAATGCTGTTAGTCTATGCGACTGTTGCAGCTTCATCTGACTCAGGGCTCGCGGCCTTGCAGGCCGCGAGCTATTTAAAAGAGGAAAGGGCAATGAGGTGAGGATGATGATGAAATGGTTTATGATTTGGTATTGTTACCAATCATCATGTCGCCTTTTTAGGCGGTTTTTTAGCTATCTAACCGCAGTCCGAGGGGGGGAGTGCGGACCCCCGTCTCTGACTGCTCAGCTCGTGTCGGTCGATGGTCTGGGCGGTGAGAACCGCCCAGGAGTGAGAACCGCCCAGGAGTAAAGTAATCAAGTGATCTTCTGTTAACAAAGAACAGTATTCGGCGATAAAAGCAGCTATTTTCAACTCGGTGACTTTTGTTTTTTCCGTCAAGGTTGGTTTTTGGTTTATAGATTTCAGTTATAGGTTTAATTGCCTTTGTTAATTTTTCCTATACTGCGTATCGCACTATATTACTAGCGTATAGAACAGACACCCCGAACCAAAAGTTTGCTTCATTTTGGTAAGAGTTAGAACTAAAGTTCACTGCAGCGCTAAAAAAATAGTAACGTTGTCTAACCAAACTATTAAAACATGCAGAGAGCAACGAGACCAATATACGTCATAAGCGCCAGGAAATTTCATTTTCGAGTCGCTCCCATAGATTTCGCTTGATTCTCGTGAGCATTGTAACAACGCGAAAAACTTAAATCAAAGAGTTTTAAACGTTTTAATATCTAATTACCGATGAAATATTAAGCCATCACTTTTTTTAATGTTCTGAAGTGTTTACTGCAGTCTTTAAGAACACAACCAAGCATTTTGAAGTTGTTATATATACGAAGCGAACACGACTCGTCTGTGCAGGCGTTGGACATTCACTAAACAGTTCCGGTACAATATACCGCAAAGCGTGGCGCAAAATCGTGCTAGGCATTGTCTTCTCTATACGCAGTAGTAATATCTCAAGGATGCTGTGGCTTTTTGATGTGTCTCAGTTTTGGAGTGACTAACCAAATCTTTCTTATAAGCTTTTAATACTTCATATCAATATCGACAATGGGCCAATGTGTCATTCGTAACATTAGCTGCAAGCCAATCCGCAATAAAACCATAAATTTTAAATAACGTAGTTCAGTGCCTATACTAACATGTAGCTTCAGTGCCTATACTGACATCAGGATAGTACATTACAACAAGAAGAAAAACTCAATCATGACATAACCAACACCACATAAATTTTTATAAATATTTTATAGTATATGTCGGTACCTGCGCCGTTGCACGTGCAGCAGCGCCTTTGTGGCTAGTCGGAATTGTTGTAAACAACACGTACACCGCATAACTGCTCGTTGCACCTGCAGTGGCGCTCGTGTAGCTACTTGTCTTGATTGTATAAAACAGATGGAGCGGCCGCCGTTAAGGCTTTTGCGCCCTCCTTTCTGCCAAGGAGGGTCGCGTTCGTATACGGCTTAGAGATCTCTAGTTAGATCGTTAAGCCAGTTCCTAAAAGGTTGGGTTTAGTGGGTAAAAGTCACCACATAACCACGCAGCCGGCTGCGTGGTATTCTATGAGCATTCCCAACCTCCCTCCCCCGCTTTCCGGAAGGTTGCCCATATTTGCTTCGGGCGCAAAAAAAAATAAACACCGTTAAGGCAGTCACGGCTCTGGCGTGGCTCGGTGCACTTGTTGTATCCCGCTAGTAGCTTATCCTGAACTCTTTGGATAATTAATTCATAAAACGACTTAATTCTTATTCTCAGCTATTCAATTAATATCAGGACAATTTATAGTTGATAAGTTGTGATCTGCGTATTTCATAGTTGTGTAAAAGTAACAAATTGTAAATTAATTCTATTTAAAAGAAATTTCCGGGTTTCTTGCTGGTTTTTCCCAGGACAGAGGTTTCCTTCGAACCAGTGGTCATAGTACTATATTGAATAAAAATGATTCTATTCTATTCCGAAATCCTTTTACGTAATAATCCTACATAACACATTGTTAAGTAACTACCTTCCTACATAAATGTATATTTGTATGTACGTATATGTATGTATGGATATATATATACACCCACACCAGACATCAAAAAATCTGAAAAAATAAAACTTCACCAATATTTTGTACTGTTCAACTGATCAACTCCCAAAAGACGTGCGTAGTCATAAAAATGCTAGTAAGTTGTGTACCTAAAAAAACGATGGGTTGCACGCCCGGTGTGCCGGCAGAAGTGAAAACTTGAATATTAACGTCGTGCATTTTTGATATTTTGGAATGGTTAGGGAATAATTTTGCACGAATTGCTGGAGACGCGAGTTTAACATTTTTTACCCATTACAAAAAAGTGAACAACGCGGCTAAAGAAGTTTTCACTTCAAAAACTAAGAAATACCTCTTTTAAATTTCATTGGAAATGGATTATGCTGCATTACAATGACACTGGTAATTCTATGGTAAAGGATCATAAATATTGAATTTAATATTGTTTATCTTGATCATTTATAAAGGAGATGGCCAAAAATTGGCCTGTGCCCCAGACTGTACAGAGATAAAATATATGAAAGTGCATATAAACGCAGTAGTGGACAAAAGTTAGGAAGATTTAAAAAGTTTGATTTTGGTAGTCAGTTTTTATCATAATTACACAATGTAGATATTAATAAAGTTCCAAATTAGATTGTTATGTAGGTTAATGTATATGCATGATGATTATCATGTATCCTAACTCGTTACAACAAGGACTGCACTTTTTTCAGTCCTTGAAATTATTATTTGTAACTATTTTTTGTAACATAATTATATTGATCGAAGTATATTAGACAGAATATATGGATCTCCATTTCGAGGACTGGTTTAGAAAAGTAACAGAAAAAGTGCAAAGCGGCGATGTCATAATTATAAACCCCAATAATCTCTTGGCGGAAACAAAATATGCAGGAATGGCTAGAATCCAAACAAATCGCATACGTGCCCTCGGACACAAAGATCCACTTAATGGAATAAAAAATGGCAGTTAAAGATAACTATCAAAGTTACGTCACCGACGAGATGGCAAAAGAGATAGGCATCACAGTGGTAAGGTTACCTCCTTATCACTGTGAGCTTAACCCCATTGAACTTGTGTGGGCAGATGTGAAAGGGTACGTTGCATGAAAAAATACAACTTTCAAGTTAACAGATGTTAAAAATTTAGTTAAAGATGGTTTATCTCAAATCACGCCAGATAAATGGAAAAACTGTGTTCAGTATGTCCTGAAGGTCGAACAAAAAATGCGTGGCATGGATGATAGAATTGACCAAACTGCAGATCGCTTTATAATTAATGTTACAGACATTTCATCTGAATACACATCAAGTGAAGATACGAGTGATGATTGCACCGAATAAAAATAAAGTTCTTATATAATACTGAAAATAAAGTTCTATCTTTTGATTAAGTACGTATTTATTCGGTGTCATTATCACTGGAAACTTTATATGTGTTATAAATTAATGCATTTTGTTGTTAAATGAATAAAGTACTATATAAAAATTTTCTTCTACAGCGATCTTTTACATAACTTTTTAATAATAGTTAATAAATATATATTATATCAATCATTATTAAAAAAATCATTATAAATAAAGAAAGTACTACATATAAAATGTGCCTATATATAGAAGGTTTGTAACCCCTGGTTAAACGGCCGAAAGGTCACTGTCCGTTTTTCTCAATCGATTTGGCACATACTATAGTTGAAAATGTGTCCATCTGTAAGCAGTAAATAACAGTTCAAAAACTCCCACAACCCTGAGCACATTATCAATAATAAATCTCGTCACCTAGCATCCAATGAAACGTGACGACACCAACATTCTGCTCACACAGTGCTCCCTCCATGTAATGTATGCTCTAATCCACAACAGCGCTCGAGTAGCTACAGGATATGATAAATCGCTTTAAAATACATTAAGAGTGATTTTGAATATAAAAAATTTGAAAGCAATAAAATAATTATTGTAAAAAGAATTATGGTGAAAGTCTGTTCAATTAAAAAAATTATAAAAAGTTCTTTATTTAGACTGTAGTTAGAGGTAAGGAGTACAGACTACAGATTGTATAAAAAAGTTTCCGTAGGAAAGCACTAAATAAGGGTGGCGCCACTGTAGCTACGTTCTAAATTTTAAAGAACTTTTTGTAATTTTTTTACTGCACAGACTTTCACTATATTTCTTTTTACAATTATTATTTTATTGCTTTCAAAATTTTTATTTTCAACATCAATCTCAACATATTTTACAGCGATTTTTCATACCCCGTAGCTCACATTTCCAACTATTCTCCTATGGGAGATTGTCCTCCTTACCTCTATACTCCACGGGATATATCCTCTGTCTACGTTAGTTTCCATGGCAACTTAAACTTAAAACTCTTGGAACAATCCAATCAAATACAATTAAAAAATTAGCAATTTGTTCAAGAGTTCAAGGGTCTCAAAACATAAACTTTCTTAGCTCATAACTTTTTAGTATATAGGTTTGGCGTCCTTCATGTATTTTTAATTTTATAATACTATAAGTTGCAAATACATCATCTTTTAAATAAAAAGTACTATAAAAAGATTAATTCTAAGTCTCAGACGAAATAATTTCGTCTGAGTTCTAAGTTAAAAACATAATTCTGATGTAATGAGAAGATTAGAAATTACTCACATATACTTACATATAATATCATTGAAATTACTGCTCTAATAATTTGTTAACAATAGCAAGTAACAAAATTCCTAAACTACTAAACTTTCAAATAATAAATGCAGTGACTTTAAGATTGATAACATAGCATCCATACAATGTATAAAAGTACCTAGTATAACGTAAAATAAACAATTATAAGGAATATGACTTTGTATATAGATACAAAGTTGAATTTTACTGATAGTAATACTGTCTCAACACTTGGTTCATGGCATCCTTCTTTACCGCTATTAGCTGTTGGTTCATATAATCAAGAAAAAGGTGGTTCTGTGACTATATTCCAAGAAAATGTAAGTTGTATTTTCCTTATAGCTAAGTATGCTATGCTAACACTTTACAATTTATACTAAACCTTATTAAATGTTACAGGGGCATGCATTAGAAGATTGTGACTGGCCTGTTCTTTTGTCTAATCAGGTAACAACACTTGCTTGGCATCCCACCAGGAAATTACTTGTTGTTGGATGGGATGGTGGAGAACTGTACATATGGTTGGAATATTCTTGGGCACGACTAGAAGCACCACATAATACTGCAATAACAACAGTCAATTTTAGTTCTGGTGGTGGTAGATTAATTGCGTCAGATGCTGTTGGTTCACTATCAGGGTGGCAATCTGGATCAGGAGCCCCACTAACAGCTTTTCATCACCAGCTTGGTGATGTTATAACTCACATGAAATTTTGCTCTTCACACCCCAATTCTGAATCATCTATTAGAGGCCTAGCAAAAGCAGCAGTGGCGGGTGATGAAAATGCATTAGATGCTTTAGCTGCTTGGAGACCTCGTACAACAGCCAGAATGAGGGAAGGTCTGCAGGCAGATAACCATGCCTGTTATGCTGCTCAAGATAATGGTGTTATTTTGTACATTGATCATGCCGGTGCTTGTTCAGAAGTATTGAATACTTCAGGCAATGTTGTATTTATGGATATCATTGGTAATACATATCTACTTGTAGCTTGGGAATCTGGTGGAGCGCTAAGTCTAACTAGATTTCTTACATCCAATAATGGTGCTTTAACAACTGATACACATGTCAGAATGACAGCTAGAAATGGTCAGTGCATCGTATTAGCAGGAAATTATTGTGTAGCCGTAATAACTGGTGATAATTTAATAAGAATTTGGGACAGTGAGACTGGGGACAATGATGTCCTACCAAACGAAAATGAAGATATATTGCAAAGAGATGTATTTACTAGCATCTGTTACTGTAATCTGAGTGACACATTATGTTGTGGCACCTCACAAGGGTGCCTGTACCTCTGGAGAAGGGATCATAGAGGCAGTTGGAAATTAATAAGCAGCACTTCAGTAAAAGGTACAGTAAAAGAAGTAAGTTGGGGATCAGAAGGATTAATGAATCCCTTATTGCATGTAAATTGCATCACAAATGCATTTATTCTTCGTGAACAACATGTGTGCTGGGGATATTCACATGATGTTTGGATGGTTCAAAAATCAGCATATGAAATAACAGTTACTGATAAAGATAATGCAACATCAATAATTAATTCATCAATAACCATAAAAGCCCTTGTATATAGGGACAATTATATTGCATTAGGAGATGGGAATGAAGTTCAGGTAAAAATAAATTAATGTTGTATTCTTCTAAGTTTATTTTTGTAGTCAGTAAGTTGGCTATGAATTTAGTATGCATTTGATTTTATTATTATTTTTCCAATTGAACTGACCATGTAGTGGTGGTGTAAAAATATCCTCTGCCCCATATCACCCTGTAGGTGTTGCAAGTGTCGACAGAGAAAACAAATCAGGGAATGGGCAGCAGCATCTTCCTAATAATGATAGGTAGATAACTGTCAAATAGACATCATCATAAATCACCAGTCTAGGTAGTTTACATCTTATAAATATGAGTGTCTGATGTAAAATATACAGTGGGGCGACAGGGAGCAGCGCCAATAGTTTGCACCTGCCTGAGTCTGTCATTGTCAATCCATCCCCCAAACATGATGATTATAGCAAATTCTACTATGGGAGAGGACTATGGTCAGCAGTGGATATTTGTGGCCAGATAATGATAATGGTGAAAAGATATATACTGACTTACATCCTTGAAATCCCCCAGTCACCTTTTACAGAACATACTGAATGAACTCTGACAACAGATTTCATCATTCACATGGCAAATATACATTAACAAATTTATATATTTACTAGCTTGTCAGGCAGACATTGTTCTGCCCTTTTTTGACTACACTTTATCATGCCCTATTAAAAATCCTCATTTTCGCAAAAAAAAAAATTGTGGGTCACTCATGGGCAAAAAAACTATCCTATCTCTCAAGTTGGACCAAACTGCACACAGTGTGCAAATTTGAATAAAATTGGTTAGGTATTTAGGAGAGTCCATTGTATATGCAACTAAAAAAATATATAGGTATTTAATATGTTTATGTCAATTACAGATTTGGATGTCCAATAAGGAAAATTATGTTAAATTTTCTCTTGTACGCACATTTTTATGGAAGACAGATATACTTATAATGTATAGTGATATTCTTGTAGGGGTTGTTGGCACCCATGTTGAAAGCTACAATTTATCAGGAAATAAATTGGGAATATTACCCTGTACTGAAGGTGAAGGTGAACCCATTGGCATAACTAATACAAATAAATTCATAGTGATATCAACCATTGACGGATCCCTCAAATTGGCTGAAATAACAAAAAAAGGTCTTAAAATGCCTTACCCTCCAAAAAATTGTTATCAAATGATAGAAGATTTTGGTGAAATTATGAGAGCTTCTGTGAATTCATCAGGACAATATATATGCCTTAGCGTTGCTAACTCTGGTTTAGCACCTGACCCAAGAGTGTATTTATGGGATGTAGCTAATGATGTTGTTACAAACATGTTGATATCAGAGAAAATTTCACCTTATCAAAGTGTCCCTATTGCAATGTTATGGGATAATAATGATCCAAGACTTGTTGCCATTCATATGCGTTCTGCAGACCTAGATAGTATTCACTTATTCTTTTGTCAGGAGGGTAAGTTATTTGAGTATAAAAATTGGTGCTCATCATCAGAAGAATACTACCTCTCAGATTTCATACTGTGTTCACTGAATACACCTTATGTTATTACTTTAACACAACAAAATATAAAAAGGATATTAACAAGCGGATTTGAAGATCAAAATAATTGGGAACAGGCAAAATATAAGCAAGTTTTAAATTTTTTATATTATATGACAACAGGTCATTTAGAGAAGGCTGTTGTGATCGGAACCAATATTTCATCTGGTAGTAAAAATTCAATGATCTGGGAGAGCTTAGCAAAAGTTTGCGTATCCCTTAAGCGAGCTGATGTTGGCGCTATATGTTTAAGTAAAATGGGCAATATCAAAGGTGCATTAATGTTGGGACAAGTTATGAATGATGATAATATGGACGATACTTGCAAAGTAGCAGTACTGGCTGTTAATCTTGGAATGATTGAAGAGGCTGAACAATTATTTAGAGAATCTCAACGACCTGATCTTATTACACGATTGATTTCAGCTAAAGAGGGCGGACTTAGTGAAATAATAAATGGAGATAATGAGGGAGAAAATATGCTGCTTGTCAAAAGTGCACAACACAAGTTGGCAAAAATATTGTGGGCTAATGGGGAAACTGGGGCTGCATTGAAATTTTTTGAAAATGCCGGAACTTTAGTGCCACATGTCCCTAGAATGTTGATAGCGCAAGGACAGGCGCCTGTACTTGCACAATATGTAAATAACTCAAATGACAGCAAACTTATAACTTGGTGGGGTCATTACTTAGAAAGTGTAGGTGATCTGGATGGTGCTCTAGAAGCTTATGGCCGTGCAAATGATTTTGGCGAACAAACAAGGTTGTTATGTCATATGGATAGGGTTGAAGAAGCAGAAAAACTGTGTCAGAAAAATTCGTCATCACTCTATCAAATGGCGCGTTATTTAGAAATGAATTGCAAAGAACCTGATGCTGTTGTTAAGGTATTATTTTTATTCAGGAGATAATCTAAGTGACTGTTATGATATTGTTAAACTTAAATTGTTGTTTCTCTTCTCTTTTATTATCTCTCCGACAGTTTACTCATGGATACAGCTTTGACTATGTCTTTTCAAGGAACATTTCAAAAGTCGGGAAAACTTCGCCATCACATTAACACAACAACTCTTTAGAGGTTTTTGTTTTAACAAGTCCCTACTGTGGGAGACCTGTTTTTGTGTGAGAAGCAGCAGGGAAACTTACAAATTTACTATTTTTACCCACTTTATATACATGAGTAGAAAAATTTAAACTCATTATGTCTACCCTTACCTACCTCTATATTTTTTACATAGTTGCCTAATTGAAAGCCAAAAAATATTAAGAATATCAAGAGTCAAGGGAAATATTCAGAATATATCCACAATTCAAGAAATAATAATTTGCTTATTGTGCAAATGTGGTTTTCCATAAAATTAGACTATCTTGTAAGCTACATTTAAAGTAAAAAAGTAAAGTTACAGCCTATATACGTCCCACTGCTGGGCACAGGCCTCCGCTAATTTCTGAGAGGGTTTTAGGGCAAGGAATTGTCCGCCGCGCTACCCCAATGCGTGTTGGCGAACTTCACATGTCTTCGAAATATTTTTTTTCTTATTTCTCTGACATGCCGGTTTCCCCACGATGCTTTCCTTCACCGCCGAGCACGTGGTAAATCAGCACTTAAAATTGCAATTAACAATTTTATTGGTGCCGGCGGGGATCGAACCCGGTTTGTTCGCGTACTGTAAAATTTACAGCGAGCGCTAACCATCTGAGCTACCACGGCTCTAAGCTAAGCTACATTTAGGAATAATAATATGTTCTTGTTTTTTGATACAGATGTATATAAAATGTGGCGCGATTTCATCGGCCATTCGTGTTGCGGCGGAGGCCAGTGCTTGGAACTTAGTGTGGCGAGCAGGATCTACATCTTCTAGACATTTCGTTTACGCTGCATCAATTCTAGAAAACGCTGGTCAGAATGAGCAAGCAATAACCTTGTACCAAAAAGCGGGTAATTTCGAAGATAATTAACATGAAGTACAAACAATTTACATTATTAAGTTATGAGGAAGATGCTACTGTCCATATACTATTTAAGTTTCCTTCTGTCGCCTCTTAAGTAGGGATGGGCCGAATATGGATTTCACCGAATACGAATATTCGGCCGAGGGTTCGGTAAAATTTTTACCGAACTGAATATTCGGCCGAACATTATTCGGCAGGATTACCTCGGTACCTAACCAATGTCGTCACCACCAACCAACCTAGTCAATGTGTTATGTCGAAACTTGTTACCGTAAAGCGCGCGGGATTAGCGCCAGAGCCTTCCCCTCGCTCCCCCGCCACACCTGACATGTTATTGCATCATCTAGTACTGAGCAAATTTACGGCACATGCTTATGTTTTGACTATTTTTGTGAGAAAAAAGTATTCTTAGTGAAAATTGATAATTATGTGATGAAAATGAGTGGCAGGAGATCTACTATTTGGACCAATTTAAGAGAAACTGACGACTGTAGTGTAATGTTTCTTTGTATGATTCCAAACAAAATTTTATCAAGCTTTCTATTTGCTATAATTGGAAATAAATCTACAGTGCCTCAAAAACATATTGCACAAGTTGATTTAACCCATAAATAAATGTACTTTCAATAGTAAAATGATGAAAGACATGGCATTACTCAATTCGTACATTTTCATACAGTGGATACTTTGAGTACCACTTTAACGAATATTGGGTGATTTAGCCGAATATTCGGTAAACTAATATATTTTTTTAAAAAAATAAAAAAAAAAATTTAAAAAAAAAAAAACAAAACTAAAAAAAAAACAAAAAAAAAAAAAATTTTTCCTCCTCCCTTATTTTCTTTTTTTTTTTACCCCCCACAACACCAAACTTATTCCAAAAAAAAAAAAAAAAAAAAAAAAAAAAAAAAATAAAAAAAAAAAAAAAAAAAAAAATTAAAAAATAAATAGTAGATTAAAACTTTCTGCCGAATATGCCGAATACCTAATATAAAACGAATATTCGGCACATCTCTACTTTCCATATACTATTTAAGTTTCCTTCTGTCGCCTCTTAAGACACCCATAGGAGTATATGGGGTAGTGCCACTACTGTAGTGGTTTGTGTTACACTGTCACTATTCGGTTTTATTATATAATATGCATTACTTTGAAAAAAGCATTAAAATTGTCCCTGCCATAAAATCTTTCTTAAACAGTTTTAGTTAAAATTTGTCAAACACAAAATAAAAGTAATGGAAAGTGAAGTTACAGCCTATATTATACACTGGCGAGCACAGACATCTTGTCATTTCTGAGATGGTTTTAAGGCAAGAAAAATTTTAGGGAGGTCGCATTACCTCATGCGTTTTGTAATATTTTCTTTAATTAGCAATTTTTTTCTCAGACATACAAGTTTACTTGCCGTCGTGTTCACAATTCACTTTTAATTACAGGTAAACCCCATATGGCATTAAAGCTTGCGCTAAACTGTGGCGATACGAACGCAATAATAACTGCTGTGGAGGCGCTCGGTGATCGGGTCGACCCGGAGCTCGCTCATACACTAGCCGCACATTTGAGGAGAGCGAATCATCATTCGCACGCAGCTGCCTTGCTCGCAACCGCAGGAAAGGTTACAATTACTTTTAAAATTTATACATAGCCATTTATAACAGAATCAACCCTTATCTGAATTCCCTTGCACTTCAATAAACCTTATTTGAAACCCTCAAAGCTGGGCAAACGAAACTTTTTTTCTTCATTCTATCAGCCCGTTAAAGTTAACCAAACCCAACTCAAAGTTTTACCCTAGTCGTCTCGTTTGGTAGGGGGATTGACAACTGCAGTACCGGACTCGCATATTTTTCGCCTCTACTCGCTGCTACTCGATGCCGGTCTGGGTATTTTATAACCGGACTTCAAAGAGATGGTTATACCGCTATCTATCGAAAGCCATTTTATGATCATTATGACATTTTCAACCGACTTCAAAAAAGGAGGAGGTTATCAATTCGTCTGTATTTTTGTGTGTGTTACCTCAGAACTTTTTTCTAGGTGAACCGATTTTGGTGATTCTTTTTTTAATTTTACTACTTGTCCAGAATTTATTAGGTAAGGTACCCTCTCGCCTATTTTTGCCGCCACTTAGCGGAACTTGCTGTATCCCGGCGTGAAGTGTATAGAAATACTGTAAGATATACCGTCTTGTGTCAAGCCAACTACGTAAAGTCAGGAATTTACATTTAAAAAAAAAGCCGAAATTAGGTGCTCTAAAAGTTTTACGGCAATAAACTATTGAAATTTACGTTGCTGGCAAAACGTATCGCTAGCAACACAGGAACGATAATAGATATACAATAAATATTAATAGCAAGGAATTAAGTGCTGAAAAACTATTGAGATCGGATATAGATGACAGTTTGATTCTGGGAATTATCGTGTCCAAGACCACCATTACCTTACTATAAGTTATGGGCTTTTTTGTTCTTTATCAGTTATATGTTATAGAAAAGATAGGTCGTATCCGTGGTAAAACCGAATCAGAACGACCTGACTCCCCGTAGTCTTGTCTCTCCTAGCCCTAGAGTGTTTTTGTAAAGCCGTATGCGCGGATCGAGATTAGCCCCGAACCACTGTTGCAAAGTAGCTGCACTTCCCGCAGCGCGAAAGCCGTTGCAGAAGTATTATATTCCTGTGTAAAAAAGATAGTTGTGTTTATGAAGGCACTTAATTATCAAATTAATTCTATACCTGATTTTGATTCTATTCCGATTTTCATGAACCTAACCATGAATATATCTGGGGGCACGGCAGTGCCCCCGCCAAGTCGAGCAACAAAAAAGCGGCACGGCCGTACCATCCTTTTCTCGAAGCAATTCAGGCCATTTTCGACCCCTATAACTTCGTTGTGGATAAAACTAGAAACCTGAATTTTTAGTAACCTACTACACATTCTAATTTAATATAATATGTATTACTTGTGAGATACATTGTGTTTTCATTTGATGGCCAAGTAATCTATTTATTTAAAACATAAAAGTTTATAGAGTAGAATAGAATATATTAATTATTATACACATTTTTTGTAGAAATATGTATAAGTTATTATGATTAGGCTAAATTTTTCTTTTATTTTATTTTTAGGTTTCCACATTAAAGTCATAGTGGAATAAATTCGTCCATTTTTAACTCTCGCGTGCCCAGCATTAATAAACGACAATGTATTCTAATTTAAATAAATATATTTGTAATTTAAATGTTATGCTAATAAGTTTTGTTAAACATACATTTAGTATGTTTTTTTTTATATTTGACATAGATACCTTTTAAAATATTCAGATAAAAATATAATTAAAATGTAATTGTGATATAATAGTATGTAATATTATATTAAATAAGCAAATATAATATACATAATAAATGACAAAATTTAAATATTGTTCTGGATACAATTTACCTATTTAACAATACAATCTACTTATTACCTACGGATCATTCTACCTATGTTTATTCTATGGTAAAAAAACAACCGCGCGAACACAGAGTAGTGCACATTTTTTTGTTGTTCTAGTACGTAAGTACATATTACTTCAATGGCTATAGTCAACCAAATCTAAGAAATACCTTTTGACGTTTCACATTAATCATTCCGCAATAAATTTGCACAAGCGTACTCATAGGTACGATTTAAAATAACCTTTTACGCAAACCCGAAGAATTATGAAGTTATCTATATTTCATTACAACGTGTATAGTTTTTTATCACTAATTTAATTCGAATCTTTCAAATAAAGCAAAATATAAAAAAAAACCAGTATCAACTTTTTTACTTGGCGTCATTTCAATGATATGTGTTTGGATGATTAAAATTCGTTGTTATGCGATTAATCGGCAAAAATAATTACTTAATCGGTAAAAATATTCAAATAATCGAATCATTAATTTTTTGATGTATTATTTGTTTAATTTAATTTTCATTTTTAAAATTATTTACGTTACATGAATCATGAATAAAACAAGTTTATTTATTTTTTGCTTTGTCAACGTAAATTTGTGTAGGCAAAAAACTCATATACAATGCCGCGCTGAAAAAACCACTACGTAATTTCAATCTTCCGCCATTTCGAGAGCTTACTTTGCGTAATTTTGTGATTTTGTGTTTGTCTTCTTATTTTGTGACTCGGCTTTAACTTTTTGGACTGTTTCTTCTATATTCGTTGAAGCATGTGCCCATGTCACAAAGGACGATTGGGCAAAAGTGGTGGAAAAAACAAAAACGTTGTTTATGGATGACTTTGAGAGACATTAATTTTGACTGCATTATTGAAAATCAAATAACAATTAATCTAAACAACGACGGCTCAACTAGTTGTACTAAAAGTGATTCAATAAATTAATTTTTAATTTAGTTTCAATCTGAAATTTTTATAACTTTACCCCTACAAATAAGCAGTAACAACAAACACGAAGAAACCGATAAAGCTTGTGTTTTAAATTATCCGTTTTTAATTTATTCTGGTATTATTCAAACCAAACTGTAAATGATTACCAACTCTAAATAATCGATATCGATTTTTTAAAAAATCGAATATTGTACGTTCCAGTTTTTTGGTAGGCATGCTTAATGCAATAACTCTGACAGCTGTCAAAATGTATTTCTTAGATTTGGTTGACTATAGGTACGTAATAACTTACACAGTGTAAGTTATTACGTACCTATTCTAGTGTAAGTTACACTTACACTAGGAATCGAAGGACCCTTAAGTAAAGACTGAATAAATTAACCGACTTGGTATTTATTACATGGATCTCACAGCTTTTTACGGTAGAAGAACTGAATTTCGAGACTTTGTTTTTTTTTTACAAGTTATGTTTTTGGTGGCATAACTACATATCGTCACTGCGTTGCTAGCGATGCGTTTTGCCAGCAACGCAAATTCCAACAGTTCGTTGCGGTGAAAATTTTAGGGCACCCTAATTTTTAAACTTGGCACCTAATTAGCACCTACAAAGCCTCTAATTTTGGCTTTTTCTAAATGCAAATTTCTTACTTTGCATTGCTGGTGATACACAACTATCTTAGTGCTCAGGTACCGCGCCTGTGGCCTTGTTTGTTTGCAGTTGGTTGCAGGTGTCCATGGACTTCAGTAGCCGCTTACTACCATGTGGACTGTTAGTTCTTGGTCACATCAGTATATATAAAAAAAATTGCCTTTTACGACCAATGGGACGACATGGCGTGCTGGATTATTTTACGCCGATAACACATGGAAAAACTTTAACTTTTATATGTGGTAGAGCCATGCTGCAGTTATATTAGTAGTATAGTTGTAGCACGAATGGGTCGGCTCGACCGGGGAAAGGACCACGGTCTCACAGAATACCAGCGTGAAATAGTAGCTTGACGCTGCTGTGTTTCGTATGGTGAGTGTAGAGAACCGGAGACCCTTTTTACTGGAAACGAAGCATTCCATCTCAGTCCTCAGGGGTGACAACGCATCTGCATTTTGACTCTAAATTGAAGATAAATCTAGGTGTCTGTGGGCACAGCATCCACTTACCATCAGGTGGACTGTGTGCTCGTTTCTCACCCTATCCTATAAAAAAAACTTTTCTGTATTGATCACTTTTACTTGCAAAGATTTTTGAAATAGGGAGATATCAATAAAACACTATGGCTGTAGCAACAAGAATGTAATAATATTTTATTAGTTATATATAACCCGTGTAGTAGCGGTGCAAGAATATATCCACTATCCCATATCATCCCGTGGGTTTCGTAAGAGGTGACAGAAGGAAACGAACCAGTAGATGGGCAGCAGTGTCTTCCTAATAACTACTAAAAATAAAAAAATTGTGGTTGCCAACCCGCTTGCCTAGCAAATATCATGAGGCAATCTATAGGGGAAACCTAAGTTCAGCAGTGTACTTTAATAGTCTGTAACGGTAACAGTACATATAGGTAGCAGATATTTTCACACAACCAATATTCTAACAGATATTTACATTTATTATACGGTAAACAGTACGAAGAAGCATTAGACATAGTCGAGGAATCGACAGCTCCTCTATCAGAGGAACTGAGCGAACGACTGGCGGCGCCAGCAGGTACAGACGGGCGAGTGGCGCTTTTGAGGCGCCTTGCCGATGTATTGGGCGCTCGAGGTCTTTACCATCAAGCAGCTAAGAGACTTGCTCACGCCGGTGATAAGGTAATTTATAATATGAGATTACATTTGACTTGCTTCTAAAATCTTTATGATCGAGTTATCAAGATTCATAGATATAATCATCATGTTCATAGTTAAACTTCTACTATGGAAAAATAGCAAGTAATATCCAGCATATACAATTTTTGTGTATAGAGACCATGTTATGTTCATTAATACTGTCACTCAGTGGCAATCGAATTCGAATAGGCAATTCCCCTGGTGTTGCAGTTGTTCATGGGCGGTGGTAGTAACTTACCATCAGGTTAGCTGCTTACTTGTTTACAAAAATTTTTTAAAAAATTCACCTCGGGTAACACCTAGCGACATCTCGTGAGTGTATATTAGTAATCCTCTTTCTTTCTTTAGTAATGGCTAGTATTGTTGTACTTTTGCCAGTGTCAAGTAAAATAGTTATGGTAATTTACTAGACTGCTCTAAAAGTATCGGGAATGCAATACGAGGGCGGCACTGAAAATTTCGGGAATCAAGGAAGTAACACAACATTACTATTTAAAAGTGTATTTATTGCTTTTCGAAGTATTCTCCGCGAAATTTTACACATTTTTCCATACGATGGAACCAATCATTGAAGCAACCATTCGATTCGGAAGTTGGGGTCTCCAAAATGGCCGTTTTGTAGGCGTCCACAGCTTCTTCAGGTGATGAAAATCTCTGTCCACGCAATTTATTCTTTATTTTAGGGAAAGTATAGAAATCATTAGGGCTTAGGTCGGGGCTGTACGGCGGATGGTCTAATAATTCTTGGCTTTGACTCATTTTCGAATACCCAAACTCGTGACTGGTTTTTTGTTTCGGGTTCGTACGCGTATATCCACGATTCGTCACCTGATACGATGTTGTATACAGAATTTGAGGATCCTGCGTGGAATCTTTCGAGAGTTTTAATGCACCAAGTAACGCGAGCCGCTTTTTGCTCTTCACAGAGCGAATGCGGTATCCATCGGGAAAACAACTTTTTTACACCTAATTGTTCATGCAAGATTATTCGTTATTTGACTCATGCCAATGTCTAAAGTTGCCTGAATTTCGCGGTATGTCACATGTCGATCTTCCTCAATCAGCTTACACACAGCATCAACGTTTTCTTGGGTGACTGCAGTTTTTGGACGACCTTGACGGGGATCATCACTGAGCTTGACACGTCCACGTTGAAATTCAGCAAATCAGCGATAAATTGTGGTTTTGGATGGGGCTTCATCATCACCAAATGCAGAAATCACCCGGTCAACACACTGTTTTTGTGTTAAACCACTTCGAAAGTCATAATAAATCATCGCTCTTGAATTTTCTCGAGTCAATTCCATTTTCTGGCAGTTTTTATTGTCACGAACTCTAAGCTCGTAACATTATGTCCTAGATTATAATTTGTTTAAAAATTTCTTCACATGTTGATGCGTCACATTGAGTTTTTGGGAGATTTTGATGGGTGCCTGATCCAGCAGTTAGTCGATGACTATAGTATCTCATGGCTTTAAATAAGACGTAATAACTTGAATTTCTCATCATCATTGGAGCATTTTTTTCATCATTCACACAAATAGTTCACATGCGCAGACATATAATACACAAAATCGCACCACTTTTACGTATTGAAACCTATTTAAAACCATTATTTAAACAATAATACAAGAACATCGATCAGCCGGCTATCAAGTTACTGCCAATACTGCGTCATCGTTTTGTGAACATGTCTAGGTACACACCAGAAACCGAAAGGCATATTTAAGACGCAGTTTTTCATTGATCATTTACGTAGGACACACTATACTTTTTTAAAAGGACAACGCACCAGCAATTCCCCTGATGTTGCAGTTGATCATAGACGGCGGTAATCACTTACCATTAGGTTAGCCGTGATCACCCCTCTTATATAAAATAATAATTACAGTCCCAACAAGTGACATCTGGTAAGCAGAGATTAATAGCCCTATTTCTTCTTTGGCAATGGCTCTTACTATCGTATTTTTGACGGTGTGAAGTATTAAACAAAATTTCCAATAATAGAATTTGTTTCGAAATTTCTTTACAATATGTTTTGATATTTTTACGGGTGCCTGAGCCAGCAGATAGTCGATAAAGATAGCATGAAACAGACACAATAACTTAACCACTTATGCCTGTCATGGAGAGTTAATTGAGCAAGTGGATGAGTTTGTGTATTTGGGATGTGTATTTAGTAGGGATGGTAGATATGATAGGGATATAGAACGACGAGTAAATGCAGGGAATAGAATGAATGGGGCACTACACTCTATTGTGAAGAACCAGAATGTGTCAAAAAAGGCACGTATGGTAATTCATAATGCTGTGTTAGTCCCTACTTTAATGTATGGTAGTGAAAGCTGGGTGTGGCAGAAGAAGCACGAAAGTAGAATAAAAGCTGTAGAAATATGGTCTTTTAGGTGTATGCCAGGGTTGAATCTGAATGACAGGGTGAGAAATTGCGTGATAAGAGATAAGTGTGGTATGCAAGATGATGTGACCAGGATTAAGAAAGGAATGCTTCGGTGGTTTGGTCATGTAGAAAGAATGAATGATGAAAGAGTGACAAAGCAAATTTATATGTGAACGGCAGAGTCGGGAAGGGACGCCCTAGAAAAAAGCTTATCGACCAAATTGGCGATATTTTGAAAATGGGCCACGTTGGAAGTACCCTTGACCGACGAGCATGTATGCGTAGATATATGGATGTAAAGGAGGCGAAAGAGGTATGTCAGGATCGTGCTAAATGGAAGTCCGTAGTCTCTGCCTACCCCTCTGGGTGACAGGCGTGAGTGTTTATGTTATTGTGTTATGTTATGCCTGTCACCCAGAGGGGTAGGCAGAGACTACGGACTTCCATTTAGCACGATCCTGACATACCTCTCTCGCCTCCTTCTCATCCATATACCTACGCATACATGCTCGTCGGTTAAGGGTACTCCTAATTTGGCCCGTTTTCAATAAATCGCTAATTTGGTCGATAAATTTTCGCCTAGGACGTCCCTTTCCGACTTTGCCATTCACTTCTGCAACATACATACATTTTCTTTGTCTCTCTTTCCTCATTCATTCTTTCCACATGATGAGTTTCACATCTCCATCGGAGCACTTGTTTTATCGTTCCCACTAAAAGTTCAGAAGCGTTGACATTTATTACACAAAATCGCACCACTTTTACGTGCCAAAACCCTTTTCTAATCATTATTCAAACGATAAAACCTGAGTGTCAATCCACCAGCTTTAAAGTTCCCGCCAAAACTCCATTATTAGCCCTCGTTTGTAGGCGGGCGCGACGCGTTAGCTGCTGCGGTCAGTCACGATGTGGAGCGTATTGCGATATTCGGCGCTATAACTTGAGTTTCACATCGCTATCGGAGCACTTGTTTCGTCGCTCACATTAATAGCAGCTCATATACGCAGACATTGAATACACAAAATCGCACCACATTTAGTTATTAAAACCCAGTTCAAACCATTATTCTAACGATAAAGCTTGAGCATAAATCCACCAGCGGTGAAGTTCCCGCCAAAACTTCATTATTAGGCGTCGTTGTCAGGCGGGCGCGATGCGTTGGCTGCTGCGATCGGGCGACGTGGAGCGTATAGCTACTTTTGGCGCGGCGTCGCGCGACCGCGTGGCGCAACTGATGGCGGCCGATTTCCTGCGTCGGCGCGCCGCCTGGCGCTCGCGGCCCGACCTCACGCGCCACATCCTGCACTTTTACACGCGCGCCAAGGCCTTCGCCAAGCTCGCCGCTTTCTACGCGGAGTGCGCCCAAATGGAAATCGACGATTATGACGTAAGCGACATTTTTCTACACCACATTGTTAACTATCCATTTATTATAGTGTAAAGTTCACTTTTAGATTAATAAAATAAACTTGGATTTAAAAGATTTACACAGATTTATTCCGCACAAGTTACTCTCTTGGAGGTTACAACACGAATGAATTTGTCTATGGAATGAACAAAGAATATATAACTATCTTATACAGGAAAGAATGAATGAACTAATCCTAAGATCCGCTCTAACAGTTCTCAAAGACAATTGGTCATAGATAAATGCGGTATCGATATTTATATCGATACTTTGCCCTTTTTAAACAATATCGATTTATATAGCAAATAATAATAATAAGTTATCATTACAAAGGCGTAAATAAATAAATAATTCAATATAATCACCCTTTAAATAATATGTATGTTAACAACTCGGCCATCCTCCAACAAGTGAGTTCTCTCACTTGATCTATTACAAAGATAACATAATTGGTTTCGTAAAATTTACATTATAATATGTAGAAATGTTATACAATTTAAATAGTAATACAGCTAGTGCTTATACCTTATATAAATAGGAAGGCAAGTGTGAAAAATGAAACGCTAAGTAAATAAATTAAACACTACATATTGGCGTAGTCTGTTACGATCTGCAACCATCTGTGAACAGTTTTCACTGATTGCTCGCAACCAAGCCGTTAACACTCATGCATAGTCTGCTATGATCTGCGATCATCTGTGAGTTCTTTTCACTGATCGCTCATAGCCTATGTCATTTTATAGAAGTATACAGTCTGTCATGATCTGCGATTATCTGTGCGACAACACTAACCGCTCATGACCCATACACATCTATTACATCTTTTATCACTACAGAGTAGTCTACTTCGATCTGTAACCTTCCGTACTTTCATCATACACTAGTTATTCCTAAGTCTAAGGTTAACCACCATTTTCAAAACGACAAAATGACACAAATACATAAAGAAATTTATAAAATATGATTTTTTTAAATTATTTAATTTACACTTATCAGTCATTTTATAGAAGTGTACAGTCTGTCATGAACTGCGATTATCTGTGCGACAACACTAACCGCTCACGACCCATACACATCTATTACATCTTTTATCACTACAGAATAGTCTACTTCGATCTGTAACCTTCCGTATTTTTATCATACACTAGTTATTCCTAAGTCTAAGGTTAACCACCATTTTTAAAACGACAAAATGACACAAATATATAAAGAAATTTATAAAATATGTTTTTTTTTAATTATTTAATTTACTCATTACTTTAGTCGGTACCATTGTCATAATCACTATGGTCGTTCTCGCTTCCGCTTGAGATCTCTTTATAATTTAACCAAGGATGTATTTTATCCAGCGCTACTACGTTTTCGTATCGTCTTTTCCCTTTTCTCGATAAAGGTGTATCCTCAACAAGAAACCTATCATTCGGTAGTAATTTCTTAATCCTGTACGGGCCATTAAATTTTGGTAATAATTTTTTTGATTTACCTAAGTGTTCTCTATCAACGACTATTCTCTCAATCCTAATTAAATCGCCTTCTTTATACTTTGTTGCGTGCTTCCTTCGTTCATCAAAAGCCTTTTTTGAATTTTCTTGTTGCTTCTCTATTCTATCACTCGCTGCGGATCTCATTTCCACTAACTTTTCTCCTTGTGTATATTCAGTCGTTGGACTTATAACATCTCCGAGGATAGTCTCTGAAACATTCATAAGTTTATAACCAAATAATAAATCTGAGGGACTTTTGCCAGTTGCTCTGTTCACAGTTGTGTTCATCCCTAACTGTATATCAGCGACATACTCATCCCAGATGTTATCATTCTTACCATGACATTTAGTACTTAAAGCATCCGTTATCGTCCTATTATACCTTTCTACTTGTCCATTGGCCCTCGGTGTGGCAACTGCGTTTAATATATGTTTCAAAGCTAAGCCCTTCGTGAACGACTTAAATTTTGCGCTCGTAAAGCATGTACCTCTATCTGTTATTAGTCTAGATGGGACTCCAAAATAACTAAAATGTTCGCGGAATATTTTAATTGCGGTTGTGGATTTTGTGTTTCTAACCGGTTTAATGTTTATAAATTTTGTAAAAACATCTACAATAACCAAAATATAAGTATTGCCTCTTCGAGATCGTACGAAAGGGCCTAAATGATCGGCATGTATTGTATGGAATGGTACTTCAATTTTGGGGATAGGATGAAGCATGCCTTCTTTACTTCCACCCGGGGCCTTATGATGCGCACATTCAAGACACGATGTTACGTATTTTTTTGTAAAACGCCTCATTTTGGGAAACCAGAACATACCTTGCAGACGACTAATAGTCTTATCAAAACCGAAATGTCCTACTTCGTCGTGGTTCATTCGTAATACTTGCCACCTTACTGATCTTGGAACTACCCAGCGGATACCATCATCAACTATACGGTAAACATGATCTCCTTTCGACTGAAAATTTTTATAAATGTCTGCAACAGATTTCGTGCGACTATCTTGCAGTACCTCCTTAATGCCTTTAATTTCATCATCGTTACTCTGAACTGTAGCGATCCAGTCCTTTACATCAATTTGTAAAACATCGATCACCCGCGACTCATCTTCAGTAGAGGGTTCGTCCACAGGGCTACGACTTAGGGCATCAACGTGTGCCATTCGTGACCCGGCTCTGTATAATATTGCTCTGCTCAATATTGCAGTCGTATTCCTGGAATTGCACCCACCATCGTGCTATTCTTGGTAACAAATCCCTTTTTGTTAGCGTGGTCCGCAGCGCATTACAGTCGGTAACGATTTTAAACTTTATACCTAAAAGATAAACGCGAAATCGGTTAAGTGAGTTAATGACAGCAAGAGTTTCTAATTCGAAAGAATGGAAACGCTGTTCTTCCAGCCGAACCAAAAAAAAAAAATTTAGCCGATTGAGACCCTCATCAAAATTTTGCGCCGGTATAAGCACATCGTCCATATAAACGAGTACGTACTTTACCTTAGATTTAGTTAATATTTTGTTCATTGTACGTTGGAATAATGAAGGTGCATTGGCTAAGCCGAATGGCGTGCGCGTTTACTGATACTGTCCGTCGGACGTCACAAATGCAGTCTTGTCTTGTGATTGCTCCGATATAGGAATTTGGTAGTATCCGGACGCCAAATCTAAGGTAATAAACAGAGAGTTTCCCGACAACATATCTAACTGATCATCAATCAATGGTAACGGGTAATGCTCTTTTCGTGTTTTGTTATTTAGGGCCCTATAATCAACACATAGCCTCTTTTCCCCAGTTTTCTTTTTGACAAGCAAAATTGGACTTGCATATGAAGAAGTTGATTCACGTATAATGCCTGCGTCAAGCATTTCCTGTACCATTGATCGAACTTCCGCTCTTTCGGGATACGACAATCTATATGGTCGGTAAACAACAGGTTTGTTATCGTTTAGCTCGATGTCCATTTTTACTATGTCTGTCATTCCTAAGTCACGTAAACTATTTGAAAAACAAGTTTCGAACCTTTTCAGAAGATCTTTTAATTTCGACAATTCGTCGTTACTTAGTTGTTCACCGACATGAAGATCAGATTCGGCACCGGGATCATCAAGGTTTAAAACGTTTACACGAACGATTCAAAAGTAATGCGCGCGTCACCAACGAGCCTTTTTTTCAGGTTAATACAATTTTTAGAAACACTCTGAATAACTAAACCGCCACTACCATTACTAACGCTATAATTGCCAGGCAATAAATAGTACTGGTATCCTGGTATACCACGCAGCGTACCGTTAACATATAAGTCTCCTGAGCAGTCACTATGGCAGCGTATTGGAATAGCGATCATTTCATTTGCCTTGAGCGCTACGTCACTTTGTAGAAATAATTTAAATTTATTCGATGGGTAACGAGTAAAAGTTACAGATTCGAAAGTTTTAGTAATGATAATTCCGGGTTTTTCCGTAAAATCATGACCAACAAGTATGGGATATTTGATAATACTATCATCGACCACGCAAACATTTATGTCATCAGAAATCCCTTGAATCTCTAAGGTTACCAATGCCAAGCCCACGGGTAGTATTGTATTATTCCCTATCCCTCGTAGTAATGGTAAATCTCGAGTAGCCCATGCCAAACCTAACATTTTTGCAACGCTTTGCTGCATCAAAGTACACTGGCTACCTAGATCTATGTAGCCTTCGATCACCGTACCATTTACATTAACTTGCATTTTGTATTTACTATCGTATTCGTTATTAAGCTTTAGTTGCATGACGTTTTTCTCATGTAAACTATCACTTTTATTTTTGGAATCGGTTTGAACCCTTGTACACTTTTCGGCTAAGTGGCCTAACCTATCGCAATTCGTGCATTTTACAGTCTTTTTCGTGCATTTATAACTATAATGCCCCGATTCGTTACAGTTATAGCAAATAATATTCGAATTAGATGTAGTACGCGACTGCCTCTGACTAGTTAATGGGGTATTACTAGCGAAGGCTGTTTTTTTATCTTGAACGCTCCTTCCCTTATTGTAATCACGGGGTTGCTGTTTAATTGACTGAAAATATTCTAAGACTTGTTCAGGCTCCTGGCATTTGGCAGCCTTAGCTCCCAACCTAACCAAACGATCTTCTATACCATAAAGAATGCAATCAACGGCACGTTTACCTTCGATCTCGCAACGGTTTAATAAATTTAATTTTTCGTAATAATAAAGCTCTAGGGACTCGTTATACCTCACTCGTTTAGACAGCATTTCAGTCAACAATTCGGCATAATCGTCACTACTGGGAAAGGATTCAATAAGTTTTGTTTTCCAATCAGACCACGAGAACGACATAGTGGGTAACGCTTGGTACCATATTCTAGCTACCCCCGACAGCTTAGGTATAGCATAATGTATGATTTGGTCATCACCCCATTTATATAACTTAGCACACTCGTCCACTTTATTCAACCACATATGTACTGTTTGACTTTTAATCATAGGATCAAATTCGGGCACCACATTGCCTAACGTAGGAAACTTATTACCATCAGGGCGGGTAGATGACAAACATTTTACTAACTCGGATAAGATATGTAATGTACTATCGCTACCTGCTTCAGTCGATGTTTTGCGACGCGACGTTTCTGTTCCTTCAGACACACGAGGCTGGGGATTCTCTTGTAGATCACCACGATGACGCTTACGGGATCTACGTCCGCGTGTACAACCACCCGCCGATTCGCGACAAGGAGTTCCGCTCCTAGTTGGAGTTGATGTGCGACAATGACGTCTTCCACTTTCACTTAATCTCGCGCGTTGACGACGAGTGACATTATCTTGACGGCTTCCATCTGAGTCCGTAGAATGTGTATTACGTCGCCTTTCGTTCGATTCTTTGTCACGGCGATTTTTATGATGTTTCTTATGCTTGGATCTACTTTCTGATTCACGGTGAGAATTTCTTCTCTTGCGATGACGTGATCGTGACTTCCTACGACCATCGTCGTTTTCTATTTCGTTATTCATATTTTTTTAATTGTCTTAAAAATGACACGTGGAAAAAAAAACGTAATTACTTGAATTTTAGTATAAATACACTATGGGTCTTGTGGATCCCACTCAAAGAGTATAATAAGTATATACAGGAAAAGAGAGCCCTCTGAAGACATTTTATTGCAGACAAAATTGAACTACTAGCGCCTCCTACAAATTGAATCCGAACTAATTCGCTATATATAGCTCTACATATACCTCTTCTATAGTAATAAAATGTATAATATTGTTCTTTAATTCGTATACATACTGAAACAGTTTTATTGCCTACTTTTTGTAATACTGTTTTTGATATTATTAAAAGTAGGTAAAACAGTTTCAGTAAGTACACTGGTATTTATGGGGTATTTGCAATGAAACAAGAAAGATAACGATGAGCACACGCAAAAAGTAGCCACCATTTTGACTTTCATTTTCGTTTGAATATTTGACGTTTTGAAGTTTAGGGTGGCCAGTATCATAATTATCATAATCGATTGATTTCATAATGTTTAAGTTTTTATTTTATGTGAAAATAATATTTGTTATAAACAAAATCACCAATAAATTTATCGTGCATTTAATTTTATTTTTCAGCTAATTTTAGTTTCTTTTTAAAAGTAGCGACATCTGTGAAGACATTAGACCAATAATAAACATAATGTTTTCGGAAACAAATTATAGATGGCGCTACCTTCAATTGAATTCTTGTGGTCCAAGGCAACTGTCCTACCCCTGATCCCACTTCTGAGATGTAAAGTTCACTTTTAGATTAATAAAATAAACTTGGATTTAAAAGATTTACACAGATTTATTCCGCACAAGTTACTCTCTTGGAGGTTACAACACGAATCAATTTGTCTATGGAATGAACAAAGAATATATAACTATCTTATACAGGAAAGAATGAATGAACTAATCCTAAGATCCGCTCTAACAGTTCTCAAAGACAATTGGTCATAGATAAATGCGGTATCGATATTTATATCGATACTTTGCCCTTTTTAAACAATATCGATTTATATAGCAAATAATAATAATAAGTTATCATTACAAAGGCGTAAATAAATAAATAATTCAATATAATCACCCTTTAAATAATATGTATGTTAACAATAGACTATATCGGGTGTCCCAGAAGTCGACGTCAAGCCGAAACTTTCTGATAGGCGAGGCCATACTAGTTACCAGACAAATATAAAAGAAATCTAAGTCATGTATTTCAGAAATTATAGTAATTTTTTTTCGAGACAGTTTTTTCATTCCTGTTGCTACAATTATTTATTTTTGCCAATTTTTTTCTGTAACCTGTAATCCTAAACTCTGTGCTGATCACTCCAGCTTGAAAGAAAATGTAATTTTATACCGAACCGAGTTTTCAGAATTAGTTTTTCAGTTGAAGTAGTGCGAAAAACTAATACTGAAAACTTGGTTCGGTATAAAATTACATTTTCTTTCAAGCTGGAGTGATCGGCACAGGGTTTAGGATTACAGGTTACAGAAGCACTATTCAGGATGACATAAATGAAAAAAATTGGCAAAAAGTAAATATTTGTAGCAACAGGACTGAAAAAACTGTCTCATCATGTACATTTTAACGAAAAAAAATTACTATAATTTCTGAAATACATGATTTAGATTGTAGTATTGTAGTATGGCCTCGCCTATCAGAAAGTTTCGACTTGACGTTGACTTCTGGGACAGCCTGTATATGAATATATATATAATATATATATATATATATATATATATATATATATATAATACGCAGTACGGCGTTCAAATGGAAAATGACTATTATAACGTAAGCTACTTTATCTATCCATCTATTACTGCCTATAAAAGTCCACTGGTGAACATAGTATGGAGTGTAGAAGTAAGGAGCACCAACTCCCATAGTAGAATAGTTGAAAAATTAGCTACTGGGATGAAATGAACTTAGCAGTTGTCGACGGTTTAAGTGTGCTGCTAAACTGCTCAGTAGCTCTAAATACTAAAATAATTTTATTTAGTAAATATAACCTCGAAAAAGTCGCGCACGCACCCAAAAATATCCTACTAATATTTTTTGGTGCGTTCTTTAAAATTTACCCCGTAGCTATAGTGGCGCCATTCTTATTTAACTGTTTTCTATGGACACTTTTTAATACACAATCTGGACTCTTTACTTCTACACTCCATAGAACATAGGCTTCCTCGTAGATTGCCACATAAACGAAATTTCGTCATAGTTTTTTTTAAATTATTTTGAATTGTCATCAGAAAAGTGCTGCTGCTAAACATGTTCCAGTTTCCCTCTGTAGCCTCTTACAACACCTATGGGTTGATATAGAGTAGTAGACGTTATTGTACCGCTTCTACACGGTAAAACTACACCTCTAAGTGCAATGCAATTGTAGTTTTAATTTTTTAATAGAAGTAAAGTTAACAAACAATCACTCAACCCTCATGATGATAAGTAGATGTGCACCAATAGACACATTTACCCTTGATTATACTCAACCAAATCTAGGAAATACAATGATTTCAAAAGAAAGGATAGGCCCATCTAAATATTATACTCATACTGTTTCATACAAGAAAAAGTAGCGCATCTGTCATAATACAAACACCATATCAAAACACGACGTAACCAGGGTTGGATTTCGTAGTATAATTATCCTAATTATATTTTTGTAGTATGTAGTATCGTAATAATACAAAGCGAAAATACCAAAATTTTACCTAAAGGTCGACTTGTATTATTATTGGGTCCTTTTACATTTTAATATTAACCCTACGATATCGAGAATTTTTGTATTGTACATCAGTACCGCGTTTTTTTAATAAAATTAAAATTAGCTCCCTTTCTGGTCAATCGATGCTTGATCGATGCATTTATGTTGCATCCTTAATACAACTATAATGAGGTGCTACCACGATAAAAACTCTATGCTCCAAAAGCAATCGATTTGAAAAAAAAAAGAAATTGAATTTGAATTATGAATCAGATTTTCAGATTCAATTAAGTAGATATGGTTTCTTTTGTACTCTTTTCGTTTTACCCTTATTGAATATTAAATACATTAGGTACAAAATTTTACTTACACTGAGTCCTTTAGACAAAAATTAAACAGAAATAAAAATAAAACCGTCAATACACGAAACGTATTGATAAACTAAACACGTGACGCCAAAATACCAGCACTTGGGAAAATAGAAACATGAAACGTCAAACATGTTATAATTTTTTTTAATATTATAATTTTAATTTCCATGTACAATATTTTTGAGGGTCTGAATCCAACCCTGGCCTAATCTTGGTGACGTAACTAAACTGTAAAATAAAACTTTAAAAATGCGTTTATATGATAATTTTATTGTAACAAAATTAATATAAGGTTATTTACCGATGATACGATATCCCATGTTTTTTTTTAAATCTTTGTATCGTAATTTTTGCATTCTTTTACCACGCAACTAGACATATTTATAACAGGCAAATCTGTCCTGCGCGCGCACTACTGTCGACCGATTCGCGTTGGCCCTAAACTGTAATTTTAGGGCCAGCGCACTAGTCCGTTTTAGTTGTTCGGTCGGCCCGGTCCTTACGCTAGTAATATATAAGTCAATGAGGAAATACCTTTTGACGTATCACATTAAAGATTTCGCAATAATTGTACAAATGATCTACCCACAATACCAAGGGCCATTAATGAAAAAAACTGTACAAAACCATAGGCTGCAGTGGCCAATTACCAGGACTTGCTGTCAGCTTGTTGTCACTTATACACATATATAACAATATTATTTTTTTAGAACTACGAAAAGGCTTTAGAAGCTCTGAAAGAAGCATCTCGCTGCATCGCAAAATCTTCAGATCCAGAAATTGGTAATGTTAAAAACTCATGCGTTCTGTAAAATAACATATTATGATTTTATTCAAATTGTTTAACTATAAAAATATTTTTGTTTTAGGATCTCAAACACTAGCTCTTCAAGAACAAACATCATTTCTAAAACGGTTTTTAGAAGTTAAAAAGCTCTTAGAGTCAGGAGACATAAATGCGGGTAAAAAAGATTTTTGTATTAGTATGTATATTTTCTCCACTACTGCATATAAATTAACTTTTGTATCTTGAAAGGTGTTGTCAATGGTCAGCAACTAATTCACGCAATTAGCGGTCGACCCGGATTGCTATCTGAAGAAAAAATACTCAAGTTATTGGTACATTATGGTCCCAATCATCACGACGTTGAACGTATGTTTCTTTTGATATCTCATATATTATTATTTTGTTATACCTTTATTTTCCAATTCGGAAGTTAATGTCCGGGTTCCAACGTATTTAATAATAAAGCAGATTGTTAAAATGCGTACAACTAACTACTCTTGATCATAAAAGCATACTATGTTTTTGTTAATCATATACAATTTTTAAATGCAAATTAAACAAAACTTTTTTCTTAGGTCTAGAGCAACGGCTTAAGTCGCTACAACAAAGGCCACAAGAGGAAAACCAGGCTCCTGATTCTCCAGAGCAAAGTATCGAAGAAGTAATCTAAGGATTCAAAAAGTGATATGTATAATAATAATAATATGTGATATGCTTATAAAGTAGAATGAAAAGAAATTTATTGGGTTAATTCATTTAGTGTAATATTAATTATGGGACTGGCAAATATATATTCAAACTTCAAGCCAAATAAATATAACAAATCATAACAAAACAACAGTATGATCTAATTCGTCGATTAATTATTAGGATCAAGATGTTATTTCTAAGAATATGCAAATACTTACCTAGGTAACTAATCGTTAACAGTAAGAAACAGTTTAGCGCACCAACATTCAGCGTAGCGCTATTACTATTCTACCATTCCGTGATATGTGCTAAACACAATCACAATTTTAGTGTAACGTGATAAACGTCATTACATGATTTAATCATGTAATTTATACCGAAAACCAGTTTATACATACAAACCAACAGCGGGACTGCATCTCCACAATACACCCTTCTTTACTTGTTTAAAGGAATTACCACTACGGTTATAACCATAACACCGATATTAAGACTCGTAAAATGACAGGCAATCTAATTTCCGGCATCACCCTATATACTGCTCGAACGAATGCTCACTTCCAATCACACATACACACACACTATTTTTTGATAGCCCGACCCATGTGTTGAATCCGGGACTTTATAATCGGCAGTCGCGTATATGACCACTATAACTTGTAGACTAACGAGGCAGCAAAAAAAATGCTGTTAACTCGACAATAAAAAATGAGATTGAGTTTTAGCGGGAAATTGATCTTTGACAAAATGCTGCTCATATATTATTGGTTAGTGCTATTTTGTATATTAAATGTTTGTGTATGTAAACTACGTACCGTAAAACGGGGTAAATAGGGACGATTTCAAGGTTTAGGACAGATTTCTAATTTGTTATCATTGTGTTTGTTATTGAATACTACTTAAATATTCCGTCCGGTGGCTGAAACTTTTATTATTTACAAATTTTCCCGCATAAAAATGTAGGTTTTACGAGAAAAAGAGAAAAATATGGCCGATCCCGCGATGACCGTGGTTGGGGTGAAAAGGGACAAAAGAGGGGTGAATCGGGAATTCAGTTAGGGCTGCTACAGATTTTTACCCAACATGATAAAATGAGGTTTTCAATTTCACTTAATAATGTTAAATAAAACAAATATAACAGTGTAGAAAATATTTATTTAATGAGATCAGTAATACAGTCAGCAGACAAAATAGCAGATTTTTTTTTTTCAAAAGTATGTTAATACCACGTTATTCTCTTATACAATAGACTATTATCAAATATTTTTCTTCTTTTATCAACTAAATAAAATTGAAGAAAGAAAACACATAATAAAAATATCAATTTCGACAAAACAAAACATTTTCGTAATAAATAATAACTTAACACATTTATAAAATAAAACCTCTTATTAGGACTTAACAAAGTAATAATATAAATCGTAGGAGAATTATGTTTTACGATTCAAGAAGCCTGAAACAAAAAGAATAATACTTTATTCGTCATCTTCTAAAATTTTCAAAATTTCACTTTCGTTCTTATAATAATTTGTTGGACATCTTTTTTCTACTTAGGGGCTGGCAATGGTAATTTAATAACTGATATGATTTTTATTTCTTCTTTCTTTTTAGTATCTTTCTTTATCTCTTCTTGCTTTAAAAAGTCTGAGCTTGTGATAGTCACTTCGTCTTGATATTGTAAATCTAATGAGTCGGCAAAAACAATAGGCATATCTTCTACGTTAAATGACCCTGAGTCTTTTTCTCTAAGAATGTTTTGGAATACAATAGATTTATCACTCTCATCCGTATTTTTTACATTTTGGCCAATGACATCTTTTGATGGTCCAGCTTCCGATAATATTGGCATAACATTTTCTTTCCCATCCCATCTGTCATCGTCTACTTGCTGATTTGTTTTTAGACATACCAAATTTAAGGTTTTTGTTGCTCTTTGGTCCTCTTTTCTATCGTAAGGTTCGTTAGGCACATTCCTGTTTATAACCATCTAATTTCCAAATTTTTGGTATTTCTTCTTCAGGCATCATTTCTACATCATTTCCACAAACACTTCGTCCTGAAACTACCTCTAACTTTTTCTTACATTTTGGAACCCTATTTTTTTTTCTATTTTTATTGTACTGAAACGCATTTCTTTTAAAATTTTCAGAAAAGATTCATCTACCGCATTTTTATTTGTATCTGCTTCTTGATTTAGTGTAGGTAATCTTGACAAGACTTTATTCGCATTTAATGGAATGATTCCTGCTTTACGGAAGCCAGCTTTGATGTTTTTTTTTCCGAATTTGGTTTTAATTGGTCTATCAATAATTTTAAAAGACGCGGGAAACAACCTTTAGGCACTGATGTCAGTGTTCTTCCACTTGTCTAGTAGTTGTCGCCAGGCTAATTTCATCGGCCTAAAAAAGGCTAAGTCTAACGGCTGGGTTATATGCGTAGAATTCGCCGGTAAAAAGACAAAATGAAAGTTTGATGGATTTTTATGATTTGATCCAATTGAATACATTCCGTGGATCTGATTAAATTCCTTTCTTTACAGAATTTACAATCCACGGAAAGATGCGAGACAAGTTGTCTCCGATCAGGATCTTTTTTCCTTCTTTGTTTTCAAAAAAAGATACGACTGTCGTTTCGATCCAGTCTTTGAAAATGTCACTGTCAAACCATCCGGATTTAGACCAATTGTACCTTGCACCCTCAGGGCTATTCTCAACCCATGTTTTATAAAGGTGTGAAGCCTTATAAACAATGTACGGTGGCAATAGTTCTCCTGTGCCTGTGCATGCCATCATCAAAGATGTTGAGCCTTTTGAATGGTTTACTACCCTTTCCGGGTATTTACAACCTCGTTTTAAATTACTTTTTTTTCGGCCAGGAACGTCAGAGAGATTCGTCTCATCATAATTTATAATATTTGTAGCTGGAACATTTTCTAAGGATTTTTTTTAACTCACAGAACAGACATAGGTCTGTATAGATTCTGGTGAAACTGCAGCCCTAGATCTTTTTATGTTTTGGCATAGTCTCTTTGAAATTTTATTTTTGTGCCGTTTTAGAAAACCGTTTGTGTAGTCTATTCCTGGTAAATTATTTTTAAACTTTTTTGTGTACTATCCCTTGTATGTCTAAATACATTCTGACTAAGTATCTTAAGTCAGTTGTATCTAGGGGATATCCCCACTCTGCACACGTATTTAAGTTTTCTTCATATCTGTGTAGCGCTTTGCCACCAGGGTGTTTTATATTTTTATTGGTATGATGGCGATGAAGAGTTGATTTTGATATACCATACTTGTCGGCCACAGATTTTATAGACACATGATTATAATTCAATTCTTCAAGAGCTTTTTTAATTATTTCCTCATCATATTTTTTGTACTGTTTACACGCTGGTTTAGGTTTATAAATGCAAGGCATATATGTTCTGTAAACAATGAAAATTATTTGTATAAATATAATGTACACAAAATATCTTTAAACTTCGTCATTTCATTAGATCATGATCTATGGAGCATGTAGATTTACTGTCTAAATAAAATAAACATTACCTTTAACTGTTAATTATTGCTTATTTAACTTCAGTATTAGTTATTTACATATATGTGACATTCTCTTGCTATTTCGTAAAGAAAGATTGACCTTTTTAATATTGACATCGTCTTAGGTTTGAATATTTATATGCAATAAAATATTTTTCTTATGATTTATATGACGAAATATAAATATTTTTTTCTTAAACAACCGAATAAGAGACTGTGGCGGCGCTGTCGTCGCGCCGCAAGCGAAAACATACCGAAGCCTAAATCACGTTATCAACATTCCGAATCATAAACAGCATACATAGAACATCTCCGAACTATCACACGGAGTGTTGGCCGCTCCCCGGGCAGAACACCTTTGCCCGGCGGGAGATCTCCCCTTTTTCCTAGTTTAGTTCGGTGGCTGTAGAGTGACATACGCTATTTTTTCCGCGGAAAAACATCTCATTCCCGTGGGAAAATCGAATATGTTGCACAAGTTTGTCCTTCTTTCACGTCGCAACAGAGCGTCGGCATGGCATGATTTTTTGTATGGGGATAGTTCGGTGGCTGTAGAGTGACATAGGCTTTTCAGCCGAAAAAACATATCATTCCCATTCCCGGGAAAATAGAATATGTTGCAAAAGTTTGTCCTTCTTTCACGTCGCAACAGAGCGTCGGCTGGCATGAATTTTGGTATGGGGATAGTTCGGTGGCTGTAGAGTGACATAGGCTTTTCAGCCGAAAAACATATCATTACCGTGGGAAAATCGAATATCTTAAATTAAATTCAGCTAGGTTGCGCCACCGTGATTCTACAAGACGGACGACGGTACGATGGACGAACACAGAAGATCAGAATATCTGGATTATTATGTCTTTTTACCAAAATTAAGATAAAAAATGTATGGATCTGTATTTTTTCACACAGGATCGGGAAGAGAGCAATAAAAGACATAAAATACACCAGCTGATTTTCTTCAAACGTTTTGTTGCATTGTAATTCACAGAATAGGGGATAACCTCGCAGACGATATTAAGTAATCTGTTGATGCTCTGCCTACCCCGCAAGGGTTACAGGCGTGATTATAAGTATGGATCAGAAATACATTCACCACCTGTCACGCTTTCACCCTTAACTATTACTTAACTGGGGTAGAAACAGTTCTTAGTAAGCCTTATTAATAATCCTTAGTAATATTTATTGAACGGAAATGAATACAGTTCTTATATGTGGTTATGAATGAATCGGTATTACAATAAGAAAAATTGTGCAAAATTATAAGAAAAATATTTTTTGAGAGTTCTTATTAACTAACGTATACATAGTTTAAATTGATTCCGCTAGATGTCGTTACTAGGTTTTTAAAACGCGGTAACGAAATGTTTCCTGATATGTATTTAACTCCCGCCGTTGAACCGCGCGTCAACTTATAGTGCATACGGTACTTATACGCTTAAATTGTTTCTATTTCGTAGCTTATTCGACTACCTGCTTTCGATTTCGGTTGTTTGTTATTTGCTTTGTGATTTGGTTAAGGTTGAATGGATTTATATTGGCTTTTATTTTCGGATTCGTGTATTTTCTTGGATCGGTTTTGTTGATTTGGTTGGTATTCCTTTATACATATTTAGACTCTGGCTTTGATTTTGGATTTTGTTTATTTAGAATCGTGAATTGGTTTTCGTTATTTTAGGTTGTTTAACAATATTTCAAAGGAATATTAATAGTATAGATAGTGTATACGGTACCTATACACTTACTTCTTTTTTCGTTGGTTATATTTATATTGACTACTCTCGATTTCGGTTTTCTGCGATTTGTTTTGTGATTTGGTTTAAGTTGATTCGATTTTTTTTTGGCTATCGTTTTCGGATTCGTGTTGTGTCTTGAATTGGTTTTGTTGTTTTGATTTTAAAAAATGTTTAAAAAGAATATTTATTCCTTTTAGATATTGTTACGAGCTTGAGGTTCGTGACAATAAAAACTGCCGATTGCCAAAATTAACACTTTAATTCACTTTACACTAATTAAACTTAAAACACTAATAATTGATCACACTGATTCATTTTATTCCGCTCCGAAGCGTCGCTTGTCTCGCCAAATTCAATACTTGCCCGATCGCATCTTGCAGCGCCTATAAATACACATTAGCACTGAAACATCCAGAATATTCAAGTAAATACGCGTACCAATCGACAAGGCGCCGAAAGTTCGAGTGTCGGCTTCTAGAAGCTTAGTTTTTCGTTTCGATACTAGATGGCGCTGTCGGTTGAAAGATTAGTGATGTCATTTTCTGAAAAGCTCTCCTCGCTTCGTTGCCCGACACAGATGGCGCTAGTGCCGGGTACATGACGTCAACTTAGACGTGCAACACTGCCCCCTCCTAAGACATGCTCGAGCATTATCGGCCCCATAATAACTCGCCAGGCGATCCGGTAGGTTACATCGTTGATCCTGGTTACAATCCGGTACGGGCCGTCCCATTTAGCTTGAAGCTTCTTGATTTGGAATGACGAAGACTTCTGGCCACTTAGTGAAGTAATCCATCACAACCATGAAATACTTGTTACCGCTTTCACTCTCTGGAAACGGCCCCGCCACGTCAACGCAAGGAGATGGACCAGAGGAGATTTGATGGTGCAACGTCGCAGACGTCGGAGGGCCAACTGCCAGCCACGGAGGCTGCGGGCCCGTCAGTAGCTCCTACATCTGCAGCACCTGACTTAGGTGCTCTGATGGCGATGCTACAGGAGCAGCTGCAGCGCGGACGAGAGGAACAGGCCCGTCTGTTGAAAGAGCAGCAGGAGGAACAAGCTCGTAACAATATTTTGGATTTGTTTTAAAAAAAAATATTTAAAAGGAAATTTAATTCCTTTTTAGGTATTTTAACGTTTTTTTATAAATAGGTTTTTTGTTACTTCATAATACCTCGCAAACGTAAGTCCAGCCTTTCAAGAGTATCTTCTCAAAGACAAGCGAAAAGATTAGCTCGATCGCTAGAATCTTTAGAAGATGCTGAACTGAGAAGGCAAGAACAAGCAGAGCGTCAGGCTGCTTTTAGAGCATCTGAGACACCTTCTCAACGTCAGCAAAGGCGTCTTGAACAGGCAGAGCGTCAAGCTACTTTAAGAGCTTCTGAAACACCTTCTCAAAGTCAGTGTTGATGCTCGTGTGTGAGAATGTTAGTAATGGAGTGGGTTATGCTGGCGGGATGTTAACTGGAGAGCATGCAGTAGCAGTTTGATGAGCAATAAATAACACTTCTTCAGAGTTTTCTTCTATTTATTTTCTTGGTGCTTTATTCTTACATTGCCGGATTTGGAATGTTTAACCACAAAAAACGCCTCTTTTTTATAGGCAATTTCGACCAATCAAAATGGTTAAATTTTGCACACGGCACTAACGAATTTGCACACGGCACTAATGATTTCCGTCGACCAATCAGAGCGCAGAGCAACCTTTTCT